GGTGAGTGAAAGAGTAAGGCTCAGAGGAAATTTAGTGGCCTCAACAGCAGCAAGGCCTTGAAAGGAATACTCTGCCGGTTGTGAGGAACACTCTGCTGGTTGCTCTGCATCACAAGACGCTTCTTCCCCACGGGCGAAACGCTCGCACGGGCGGGCGGCACTGGCTGCAGACTGGTCCACGTCAGCTGCCACATCAGCTGCCACATCAGCTGCCACGTCAGCTGTGGCGTCACCTGGCTTAAAAACTGGTGTTCTTGACTTATCCGACTGATCTGCAAGTGGCGTGTGCAGCACTGACGCTTCTCTAGTGCCCTGCTGTGCTGCCCTGCTCTCCATGTTACCCTTGCTCTTGGCCTCCTGCCACTCTCCACCCTCACACTCCCCACCCTCGCTCATATTGATACGCTCCCCTGGGTTCCCATCCACTGTGCTTTCACCGTCGTCTCCAACGCATGGGAAACAAGACGCAGCAGCAGCGGCAGCGGCGGCAGAGGAAGAAAAAGCAGCAGCACCACCAGGCGAAGCTGCAGCAGCAGTCGCAGAAGCAGAAGCAGCAGCGGTAGCAGCAGCAGGCGCACAAGTAGCAGCAGCAGCAGGAGGCGTAGCAGCAGCAGCAGCAGCAGCACCCCCACGGGGAGAAGCAGAAGGAGTAGCATTCTTTCCCTTAGACCTAGATCTCCCCCCCCACTGTGTGTGACCCAGCACAGGAGGCGTGGTGGGGGACGGCATGGGGGAGAAGAAAGACCGAGTGACAGACCCTACACGCGGGCTGATCAACGCCTGTAGCCCTGCTGCTAGTGCTCCCTTCCGCCCACTCCCTCCTCCTCCTGCCCCGCCCCGGCTTCCTCTTATCCCTCCTCCTCCTCCTCCTCCTCCCCCTCCGCCTCCGAAGAAACCAGCGCTAGGAGAGGCACTGAATGGATCCCTTCCCTCACTGCCAGCAAACCTTTCGTTATTGGCACCAGCAGCAGCAGCAGCAGTAGGAGTGCCAGCAGCAGCAGCAGTAGGAGTGCCAGCAGCAGCATCACCAGCATTACCAGCAGCATCAGCACCGTCAACAGCAGCATCAGCAGCACCGCTACCAAATCTGTCCAAGAATATAGCCATCTTAAGACCGCTGCGCTTCCCACCCTTGCCCTTCCTCCACGTCCCATCTAAACCTCCCTCCGACACCACTTCTGTACCTGCTGCTGCTGGTGCTGTATAGTCGCCTTCTTTGCCTCCCCTTTGACCCAAACCATCTGCCGAGTCAAAAAGACGAGGAGAAGACGCAGTAGCAGCAGCAGCGGCGGCAGCAGCAGCAACAGCAGGAGCAGGAGCAGCAATCCTAGGACTGGGGGTTCCAGTGCCACTGCCTTCCTGCTCCCTTTCTCTCGCCCTGTCTGCTTGCCTGCCGCTAATCTTCCCCAGCCCTCCAAAGGCCCACATGGAAATCGGCCCATCTAAGCTGCGCGTTCTGCGATGTCTCCCCCTCGCTTTTCCCCCTCCTCTTCCTCCTCCTACTTCTCCTCCTCCTCTATCAACGGCTGTGCCTACCGCTGGTGCTACCGCCGCTGCCGCTGCTGCCGCTGACGCTGCTGCTGCATCTGAGGGGTCTGATTGAACCTTACATTCCTCTTTCCCAATAACAATGCTACTGCTGTCGCCACTGCCACTACCACCCTTCTCCTCACCAGCAGCAGCACTCCTCCCTCCGTGGGTGCTGCCACCCTCATCCCCAAACTCGTTCCTGGGATCATCACGGCATGTGTCTGCTGCTGCATGCATTAAGGGCTCTGCAGAGGCAGTAGTGACGTTGAAGGCCTCAGCAGAAGCTGCAGAAGGAGAAGCAGCGGCAGTAGCAGCAGCGCCAGCAGCAGCAACAGCAGCAGCCGGAGAAGCAGCTGAAGCAGCAGAAGAAACAGCAGCAGGAAAAGCAGCAGGAGCAGCGGCAGCAGCAGCAGCAGCAGTATGGAAAGCAGAAGCAGCAGCGGAAGCAGCAGGAGGGGAAACAGCAGCAGCAGCAGCAGCACGTTTAGAGAGACCAAGCCCCTCAATCAGCGCCCCCACAAGAACCCTCCCGTCCAGACTCAACGTCTTGCGATGCCTCCCCTTGCGCCCCTGCCTCCGCTCCTCTCCTCCTCCTGTTGCCCCTCCTCCACCTCCCCCTCCTCCGCTTCCCGATCCTCCTTCCCCCCATCCTTCCGCTTCTCCCCCCCCTCCCCCCTCTGCACGTCTTTCTTCGGGTGTGTTTCCTCCTTCCACGTCGGATTCTTCTTCTCCTCCTCCTCCTCCTCCTCCTCCTCCTCCTCCTCCTCCTCCTCCTCCTCCTCCTCCTCCTCCTCCTCCTCCTCTACCTCCTGACCCTTCAACACCTCCTTTCCCCCCTCTCTCTCCCTTCCTCTCGCCTCCATCCAGGTTCATGCCACCCTCTACCGATCTTGGGTGTGGTAAATCGTGGTATTGAAACCGCCGCCGAGTTTTCTTCTTCGGCTGTTGCTGCAGCTGCTGCTGCTGCAGCTGCTGCTGCTGCTGCTGCTGCTGCTGCTGCTGCACGTTAGCCTGCCCGAGGTTTACCTGCCCCAGGCCTTCCTGGTCCACGTACACCTGCTCGGTTTGCTTCGGTTGAACTGCGGATGGGCGGCTGCTGCCGGACCTAGTCGAGGGCGGCCAGCCGTGGCTCCAAGCCAGAACGGCAGGCTCGGCCGAGGTGGTTCGGAGCAGAGCCCGTCCCGATGTGAACGGAGAGCGGGAGGACGAGGCGGGACGGTAAGAGGGGTTGGAAGGAAGCGGAGAATGCGCAGCAGATGCGGAAGCCGCGAAGGGGGAGACTGCGAGCGCAGCCATGGCTTCCAGTATGGCGGAAGAAGCGGAAGGAGCGGAAAGAGCGGAAGGGCCGGAAGAAGCGGAAGGGGCGGAAGGGGCGGAAGGAGCGGAAGGAGCGGCGGCGGACGAACGCGCTGTTGAGCGGGCGGATCCCGAGGCCTGGTCGGTGGCGTATGCAGTAGCCGTCGGAATTACGTAGCTGCCCGTGACGTCACTACCACCTGACCCTCCAACCACTCCTCCTCCTCCCCCTGCTTCTCCTACTCCTCCCCTTCCTCGTCCTCCTCTTTTCCCTTCGTTCCCTTCCCCTTCCCCTTCCGCTTCTCCTTCTCCTGCCGCAACACGACGTTCAGCGATAGAGCTTTCACGCATCTCACGCGCGGCGCGGGAATCGACCCCTCTTCGAACTGCACCCGTGAATTGTTCCGAGGCAGCCTTTAACGGGTTTCTGCCGCTGCCGCGCCGCTTCCGCGCGGAACTGAAGTCGTAGCCAGACTGGAGAGACAAGGAGCGGAGAAGGACGGGAAAGCCGCGCGCCGCCTCCTTCCCTTCCCTAGAATCCTTTCCATCCTCTCTATAATTCCATCTGCGAGTCGCCGCGTTGCGGCCTTCCCTCTCTCCCGCGACGTCGCTATTCTTGAAAAACGCTTCCACGGTTCTCGATCTATCCGAATCGTTCTTCACTCTCCCTTCGCTCCGCCCTCTTTCTTCCATCAAGCGAGTCGCTTCACGCGTCGCGTCTTATAATTCCTGCGCCCCGCGTAGCGTCTTGTAATACCTGCGCCCTGATTGGGCCTCAGACAGAATCTAACCCTAAGTTCCGTTACGCCCTAATTTCGGCTTCGCCCTAATTCACATTTCGCCCTGGTTGGCCCTAATTCGGAGCTTACACGATTCGAGGCTCGCCCCGATTCGAAGTTAAGGCGAGAAAAGCCATTGCCCCGGAAGGCTAACCCTACCGCCAATTGCGCGAGGCCAACGCTCCAGCTAAAGGCGGCGCGTGCGCTGCGACGGTCATACGGAACTAGCTTGTCACTCAATGCAGCAGCAGCAGCAGCAGCAGCAGCAGCAGCAGCAGCAGCAGCAGCAGCAGGAGCTGCTAGCTCAATGCTCACGTGCCTCTCGCACTTCCACACCACACCTCACACCTGTCGCGAACAGAACAGCGGTTACAAGAAATTCCGCGTTAACCCCCCTGACGGGATTTGTTTTGCACTTCCAAACTTATTTTTGACTAACATCGAAGGGGCTTCCGTGTCGTTCTCCTCACTGTACAGTGTACCACTTGACTTACCCTGTCAAGAGATTTGTACTGTACAGTCGGTGCCCATTTCAAGAACACCAGGTAGGCGGGCGGCATGTGCGTGAAACGAGTTTTGGCTATTTCGCCACGTTCGCCCTTGTCGCCACGGGCAAAAATGTGACAGTAACATGAAATTGCAACGTGAATCGAGTTAAGGGCTTTAATTTTGTAACCAGGTTAACTTCTCTGATGACGGGCAACCGTTGTTGTTTATGTACTGTAGATGTTTTTCTTCCTCAACTTGGTGACTGTACCCCGAAATCGGCACAATGGTCAATTTAGTTACTCACGGGCAAAACGTTCGCGAGTGACTAAATTTCTAATTGTGAGGAGCAAATGTTTTGTGATAGGCTGAGCATCGACTGTACAATTCTTCCTCTTGTCAAGGACGAAGTGATCATGATGGGAAAGGCGTGAGGACGACTGCCATTGCCATGCCACTTCATGGTTTCACGCGGAAATCACCTTCTGAGGGACTTCACCTGAAGGGAGTGGGGGACCAGAATATTCCTGCGTACCGTACCAATTCGTAGTGGCAGCAGTTGAGGACGAAACGAAATCACCGCTGTCGCCACGAGAGAGCTTTGGCTCAAACGTTCACGACCTAGGGATTTCCTTGCGAGTAAACTTTGTATGGCCGCCCCTGCATTTTCGAGTCCTGGTCCCGGGTTCGAATGAAGGGACCCACTGTCAGTCAGCAATTACATATGTATACATATGCTGCCTTGCCTGGCCTCTTCAAGGGACACGAACTTCAGGTAGCAGTCTAAACCGAACGAAAATGTCGCTCTACGTTTCGCCACGGGGAATCGTGTGATAGGTGGTAACAGCTTTAACTTCTCTGCTGTATGGCGGACGGACAATATTGTTTCGAACGGACAAGAAAGTGACAATTTCGTGGATTCTGCGGTTTGAAACGGATGCCTCACCTGTTGTATCAATTGTCGTATCGTTTCGTCAATGTACCACGCCCACGAGCCTACATGCCAAGCACCACCACGAGCCTACATGCCAAGCACCACCACAAGCCTATACTCAACTGTACAATGCTCCTCGTCATAACATTGAACGTTTCCAACCATCATAAATACATCATGAGAAGTACTACCAGCCTTGTGAATCGTTTACTTTTCTGAGACCCGTTGTATACACAATTTCTCCATTGTGTTAGTCCGGATTTGTTTCAGAGAGTCCATGGAAATGGGTAATATCACATCTCCGCATTCCATCACTGCATGCTAATTTTTGGTTTTTGACAACCCTTCAATCCGTGTTGCACAGGTTCAAAACCCTGATTATCAGTGTGACCCCTTGTCGGAAAACAGATTCATCAGGGTTTCTCCTTAGTTTAAATATTCAACCCTGAGGCATCAGTGTACAATGTTCTCGAACTTTGCTGAGATTGTCATTAACAGAGCACACAATAACAAATTTACAGTTTCGACAGTTGGCAATCGGGAATCCCGGGTTACGGGGTAGGGGGGTTAGGGGAAAGAGGCGGGGGGGGAGGCGGGGGGGGCGGGGGGTGGCTGGTACTCGCTTCAGGGTAAAAATCGCTAAGAGGATTTGGCAACACTGAGGCGACAGTGTGCCTTATTCGTAAACCCTGGCACATCAGGGAAAATCAAGGTCCCAAAAAAAATACCCTACGGCATCAGTGTTACACCAGGGCCCACGTTATCAGTGTAAATCACCCTGATGCCCTGATTAGAAGGGTGATTTTTTGTAGTAACACTGATGCTGTTGGGTAAATTTTGTTGGGCTGAGAAAAGCCCTTAGGATCTTTGCAGGGGTGAACTCTGGGTAGGACTGATAGCGGAAGCGTTTTAATAAAGAGTTGTGAACCACCTTGCGCTAGTATGTGAGGGCAAAGTAAATTGATTAAAGCAAAGAGATACAGGATTATATAAGAGTACAAGGAATACGAAGAGATACGGTTATAACGACTTTACTGTTGCTGTTGCGGTTCGATACAGTGACGACTCGGGCAACTGCTCTGTAACGAGTCAGTTGTGTGTCCTTGCTGTCGCGCTGTATTTGTCAGGTCAAAGGTCGCTGACCTTTGACTTTCGCGTAACCTCCAGCAGTTGCTCAACCTCCGAGGGTTGACTCGCTGGTGCTCCGATATGTTTTCGCCTCGCTTGTGTCTTGGTGTTTCGACACGACAGAGGCGCTTAAGATTGTTTGTTTCCAACACTCCCCTTCGCTTCTGGAGTGTCGCTGCTGGTGACGTGGCTCTGTCCAGTCAGCAGCATGCAGTACTCGAACTTCTGGTTTCCGAGCTTCTTGGTCAAGTAATCAGCTGCCATCTCGGACGTGGGGCAGTATGACAGCTCGAGTCTCCCCTTCTCGATCTCGTCCTTCACGAAGAAATATCGCAGGGCGATGTGTTTCGTCCTGTTCGCGAAGCCGTTCTTGTTGGCTATGCGAATGGCTGACTGGTTGTCGCAGAATAGGGTGAAGCTGGGTAACTGAGCTAGCTTCGCTTCTTCCAGGAGTTCGCAAAGATAGAGTCCTTCCTTGGTGGCTGAGCAGAGTGCTATATATTCTGCTTCAGCTGAGGAGAGCGCGATTAACCCCTGTTTGCTCGACTGCCAGGAGATAGGTCTGATGGGTTCGAACCGATAGATGTAGCCGGTGCGCGAGTGTCTGTTGTCGGAGTCGCCCGCGTGATCGGCGTCGACGTAGCCGATTAGCTTAGGCGTTGTAGTTGCGTTCTTGTGGTAAGTCAGGCCGATCGTTGGGGTACTAACGAGGTAGTGAAGAGCGCGGTCGAGTTCCGCCATGTGTTCTGCTTCAGGTTTCTTGAGGTAGGTCGCGAGCTGACTTGCGGAGTATGACAGGTCCGGACGGCAAGTGACGGCTGCGAAGAGTAGACAGCCCAGCTTTCTCTGGTAGTCGCGTATGCCGGCGGGCTTCAGTGGAGCGGATTCTTCCTTGCAGTTTCCTGCCGCGTAGCGATATGGCGTGGAGATGGTAGTTGGTGTGAGAGCGAAGCGTTTGGCGATGGTGTCGGCGTATTTCGCGGCGCTGAGGTAGATCGCGTCTTCCTCTTCCCGGATGTTGAGGCCGAGGTACTGTGTGACGGTAGATGAGACCGTGAGCGTGAGGTCTTGCTGCAGCTCCCCTTCGAACCAGGTTGTGACACCATAGGGTGAGGCCGATGTAGAGCAGATCGTCTACATAGACGATTAGCAGGATGTAGTCGGTGCCTTTCGTAAGCCGGTACATGCCCTGATCGTGCGGTAGTTGCTTGAAGCCGATGCGAATGAGGCGAGCGTGCAGGTATTGTTGCCATAGTCTCAGAGCCTACTTGATCCCGTAGAGTGACTTCAGCAGCTGACAGACTTGGTTAGGTTCTCCGTTGGAGCCGTGCGGTAACTCGACGAAGATTTCTGCGTCGACAGATGCGTATAGAAATGCGTTCGCGACGTCGATCTGTCGCAACTTCTTCTTCATGGCGGCGATCGCGAGGAGGATTCGCAGTGAGGTATGTCGGCTGACCGGGGCGAATGTCTCGGTGAAGTCGCGTCCGTGTTCCTGGTCGAAGCCACGTACAACCCAGCGAGCCTTGAATTTGTCGATGGTGCCGTCTGCTTTTGTTTTCACTCGGAAGACCCACTTTCCGGTGAGAACCGTTTTGTTTCGCGCCACACTGATAGGGACGGCTTTCCAGGTGTTGCGCTCCTCTAGTGCCTTTTATTCCCTGTCCATGGCTTCGCGCCATTTTTCCTTATGCTCCCCCCCCAGAGCCTGCTGAACTGTGGCAGGCTCCTTAGGAATGGCCGTGCCGTGGACTGCGGTGACGAGCCCGAGTATCTGGAGTCCACTCTGTGTGTAGCGGGGAAGTGACATATCCGCGGGATAAACAGCTTCGTCTCCCGCTTCTGGATCAGGTGCGAAATTGGGTCCTACGCGTTCTGCTTCGTCGGTGTTGACTTGTGCAGGTGTAACGTAACCGTTGTCAGCGAAATGGTAATAGGTTTCGGCGTTGATGCTTTCGTGTGGGTTTTCATCGTCCATTGGTACGTTGACGGAGCAGTAGGGGAGGGGTCTGGCTTCTTCCGAGGCTCCTTCCACGTTCTGCTCGTCCCGGCCAGCTTCGTCGTCTGCCGAGGCGAAGGCTCGGGTGCCAAGAAAACCATCGGAGCGATCGGGGTTTCCTTCTTGCAAGTTGGCAAGGTAATACCGGAGGGTGAGGTTTTCGTAGAAGATGACATCACGTGCTGCTACTGTTTCCTTTGTCTCGACATCGAAAATCTTCCATGCGTTGTAGTGTTTTTCAATGCCCAGGTGTAGACCCCACTGTGCGCGTTGTGAGAATCGGCCAGCTCGTGCAGATGGAGGCCGGTACTGTACCATGCAGCCGAAGACTCTTAACATTTTTGTGCTGCCCAGTTTTCCTGTCCACAGCAGATGCGGTGATGCGTTGTTCGGAAGCGATGATGACGAGAGCAAGTTGTGCAGCATGACGGCGTGGTCCATTGCTTCGGGCCAATGGTGGTTGGGCAGGTGCATGCCACGTAGCAGCTTGCGCATGGTGTTCTGGAGGGTCCTGTTCATCCTTTCTGCTACACCCTGCTGTTGATGGGCGTAGGGAAGAGAGATGAGTTGCTTGATTCCTCTTTCTGCCAAGTACTCCTTGAACCTCTGTGAGGTGTATTCGCCTCCCCCGTTTGACTGGAAGCTTTTTAGTTTGACGCCCGATTCTCGTTCTGCTACTGGAAGCCAGGCGACGAAGGCTTCGAAAGCCATGTCCTTGCTTGGAAGATTTAGGTGCCAGACGTATCGAATGGCTGCGTGGATGAAGGTGATGGTGTAATTGTACGCGTTTTGTCCAGGCTCGCGGTTGTACAGGATGTCGCTGTACACCTTCTCGAGTGGCGCGTAAGCTGGTGCGCTTGGGTTGTGGTGAGACGCGAACGGTTGATGCGGTAAGTCAGCTTCGAGACAGGTGAAGCATGTTCCACGGGCTCGCTGAAGTTCTCTGCCGTCAGTTAGGAGTAGAGAGTCTCTGTCGAGCACGCCTGCTCTTATCGTGTTGTTTAACACCGTGTTGTTTGGGTGTCCCATTCTTGCGTGCCAGGTTCCTTCGGTGGCAAGATGTCCGGGTGAGCGCCGATACATATCGGAGTTGGAGTAGAAGCTGGCGGTGAAGTTTGTGCTTCGATGAACTTCTCGTGGCGCTGGATGCAGTTGCTGCGCGGGTGTCGGTGGTGTGTCGTCGACGAAGATCGGTGCCGTTGAAGGACCAGCGATTGGTGTTGATGTTGCCGCTGTTGTCTCCGTTGTCTCTGCTGCTGCTGATGTTGTCTCTGCTGCTGCCGATGTTGTCTCTGCTGCTGTCGATGTTGTCTCTGCTGCTGCCGAATGTTGAATTGTCGCTAACGCTCTTGTTCTTTCTGCTTCAGGTATCGTGTGTGAATACCAGAAACCGCCGGGGCTGAAGTCCGGGTCAAGATCCGGTGGATGTGTCCAAGAGGTGAAGTTCACGATGGCGTCTCTGTCAGCGGTGCCAAGGTCCGGGACGAAGTCGAGAACGAAGACGTTGTTTTTCAAGACTGCCTTGCCGATGTAAAGACCTCCTCTCCCGTGGTACAACTTGAACTCCTGGGTGGTGCTGTCTGCTTCGAGGTGAATGCCTTTTGCCATCAACTGGCTGACGCTCAGTAAGTTGTAGCCGAGTCCTTCCGCGATTAATACCTTTGACATCTGTAATATAACGTTTGTCTCTCTTGACTGAAGTTGAACCACGCCTTGTCGTCGTGTGCGCAGGTTCTGGTTGTTGGCGACGGTGATGACTACTTCGCGTTGGAGTTGGTGCTCTTGCTGCACGAAGCGTCCTGAAGAGCACATGTGTTGTCCGCAGCAACTGTCCAAGAACCAGGTGTCTTTCCCGGATGGTTCGCTCTGGGCGATGGCTGCGTACGTTGGATTCGGTTGAAGTGACTCGCGGCGAGGTGTGGTGTTGTCGAGTTGTTCTTCCGGTGAGTAGTGTGGCGGTGACTCGGTGATGCAGGAGTCTGACAATCTTGCCATGCAGCTGACAATATTTCTTGTTCCTTGTGCAGATTGTGTTGACGGCGATGTCGTTGAGGACTGCAGTTGACTTGTGGGGTTCGCTTGCGTGGAGGCGACTTGACTGCTTGAGGGTCGAAGCTGTCGTTGTGGCGGAGCTGACTGTTGTCGATTCGGGCAGTGTGTGCGCGGGTGTCCTGACGTCTTGCAAAGATGGCAGAACGGAGGTACGGGCTTTGGTTGTTGTCGGTTGTTGTTGTTGTTGTAGCGTCGCTGAGTGTGAAACGCGAATTCGGGTACTGATGTTTTCTTCTTGTGCCGTTCCTCTTGCAGGTCCATGTCTTGTTGCTCGGCGTGTATTTCGGCGCAGAGTGCTGCCTCGGAGATTCTCCCATGAGCTCGGAGAATGGCCTTTGTGGCGCGTCATTGAGGGCCGAGGCCGCCGATGATGACTGTCACGAAGGTGTCTTCAGATATCGACCCTCCGCATCGAAGGAGTTTGTCGCGCAACTCGCGACAGCGGCTGATATACGCTATTCCCTTTTCGCCTTGTTTCATTTCCACTGTTGTCAATTGCGCCATTAGCCGACTCTGACTAACGCTGTCTGTTGCTTGATACAGGCTCTTCAAGTGGCTGTATGCGAGTTCGGCGCAGTTGCCGTATCCCTGGTAAGACCGTATATTCTGCTGCTGGTTCGGGGTGATGTTCCTCAGTAGAATCATATACGCCATCATTGACTGATATGTGTACTGCTGCTTCTCGTACTGTGTGCCGTTTGTTGGGTATGGCAGGGATCCGTCGAAGAAGCCAAGAATCTGCGCGCCTTCCATCATTAACTCGAACTCGAACGACCAGGTGAAGAAGTCCTTTCCGTAGAAAGGCCTTGACGTCTGAAGTTTTAAAACGTGCGCGAACTGCGACTGAACTTGAAGTGCGTCCAGTGGTTTCTCCTGTCCAGGTGCAGGCTGCGGTTGTGGCATAAAGCTGACGGAGCCGTGCTGGGGCTTGTACGGAGCAAAGGTAGGTTGCTGCTGTTGATTTCCACGTGCGTAGGATGAACCGTCAAGGCTCAATGGAGTCACGTCGTTGTTGTTGTTGCTGTTGTGTGACTGCGCAGGTACCGATTGCTGGTGTTGCTCGTAGAAGGACATGAAGGAGAAAAACTTCTCCATCATGCTCTGGTCAAAGCCTGCAGGTTGATTCGCAGGAGTTTCGGTGGATGTTGCCCTGGGTCTTGTTGCCGTACCCTTCTCTGTCTGTAGGCCAGAGGCAGGAGGTGGAGTAGGAGTAGTGCCGGGAGAACCAATAGAGGAACTCCTTTCCTTCTGAGTAGCCATGTCTTCTGATGTTGTAGGTGTTTTGATAGTTGAATTCCCCCTGATAACTCTCATACCATGTTGGGCTGAGAAAAGCCCTTAGGATCTTTGCAGGGGTGAACTCTGGGTAGGACTGATAGCGGAAGCGTTTTAATAAAGAGTTGTGAACCACCTTGCGCTAGTATGTGAGGGCAAAGTAGATTGATTAAAGCAAAGAGATACAGGATTATATAAGAGTACAAGGAATACGAAGAGATACGGTTATAACTACTTTACTGTTGCTGTTGCGGTTCGATACAGTGATGACTCGGGCAACTGCTCTGTAACGAGTCAGTTGTGTGTCCTTGCTGTCGCGCTCAGGGGAAATTTTATCAGGGTAAATCACCCTGATACCCTGATAATCAGGGTGGTTTTTGGGGGTCACACTGATGGCCCCGGGTAATTTTTTTAGGAGCTAGTTTTACCATGATGAACCAGGGTTTACATTTATGTCACACTGATGCATAAGGGTTCCCGGATCCCATAACGAGTTTTACCCTGAAACGAGTACCCTACCCCCCCCCCCTCGCCCCCCAGTACCCCCACCCCCCCTTTCCCGTAACCCTGGAATCCCGATTGCCAAGTGTCGAAGCCTGATTTTCGGTCTTGACAGTGCATGTGCTGGCACACATTGGGCCACCATTGGCCAGGCTTACAGTTTCTTTGTATTGAGTGCAAGTATAAAAACTAGTGAACAGGGTTTGTTTTTTATGAACACTGATGCGTCAGGGTATATTTTTCCAAAACGGGGAAAACCCTGATGGGAAAGTTTTTTCACAAGGAGTCACACTGATAATCAGGTTTTTGAGCCTGTGCCACACTGATCGTAAGGGTAGGCCAAATCCAAAAATTTGCCCTGGTCGCGCTGTATTTGTCAGGTCAAAGGTCGCTGACCTTTGACTTTCGCGTAACCTCCAGCAGTTGCTCAACCTCCGAGGGTTGACTCGCTGGTGCTCCGATATGTTTTCGCCTCGCTTGTGTCTTGGTGTTTCGACACGACAGAGGCGCTTAAGATTGTTTGTTTCCAACAATTTTTTCGGGACCTTGATTTACCCTGATGTGCCAGGTTTTAAGATTAAGGAACACTGTCGCCTCAGGGTTGCCGTTCCGCTTATCGAGGTTTACCCTGAAGCGCGTATCAGCGAACTCCCTCTCCCACCCCCACCCCCCCCCCCCCCCCCCCCCCCCGTCCCCTGACCACCCGACCCCGGAACCAGGATTTTCCCTTTGCCAACTGTCGAAAATGTAGATTTCGGCAGGACTTTACGTGTGCTGGAACGAGGTGGGCCACCATTGGCCAGAAATACAGTTTCATTCGAGGCAAGGAGAAAGTGCCGGAGCCAGAGGAGGACAGTGACCACGAGCAACAACCTTGTGGCATGTCTGATGATGATGACTGAGCTTGTTATTGTGTGCTGTGTTAAGAACAACTGAAACAGGGTTTTGCGAATTGGTACACTGATGCCTCAGGGTAGTCGTTTTAATATATGCAAAAACCCTGACGCATCAGGTTTTCCACAATGGGTAACCCTGAAAATAAGGTTTTTGAACAGGTGCTAGACTGATCGTAAGGGTTGGTCAAAACAAAAAATGAGCCCTGTGTTACACCCAAAAACCACCCTGATAATCAGGGTATCAGGGTGATCTACCCTGATAAAATAGGGCCTGCTGCATACCCCACAGATATGGTACCTTCACCACTTCAGTACTACAGAAAACAACTTATTGAAAGTTGACAAGACATGGCAAAAAGTTGATCATTCAAACCCACAACTTAGCAGCAACTTAACCTCAAGCCTTCTCATTGGCAATGAGTGAGAGGATGTGTGAGTGCAGCTGCTGACCCCCACTGGTTGCCAGAACAGACCCCCCACTCAGCTTGAGTGGCTCCCCTGCCATGCTGGTTACCACGCCCCCCGCTTCCTGCTTGCGGGGAAGGGGGAGGAAGGGAGAGGAAGGGGGAGGAAAGGAGAGGAAGGAGGTGGAAGGAGGAGGAAGGGGGAAGAAGGGTGAGGAAGCGGGAGGAAGGGGGAGGAAGGGGGAGGAAGGGGGGTGAAGGGGGGGGAAGGGGGAGGAAGCGGGGGGGGAGGGGGGGGAAGCGGGAGGAAGGGGGAGGAAGTGGGAGGAAAGGGGAGCAAGGGGTAAGAAGGAGGAGGAGGGAGGGGCGAGATGGGAGGAGTTGTGATGCGAGTGGTTCTAGTGTATACTTCTAGTCTGGGTGGTCAGAGGAAGGTGAGTTGTGATGTGCGCCGCAGAACGGGGAAATAGAGGCGAGCGGGGGTTATAAGATGAGAGATGGGGGCGTGCAGTGCAGGCAGGGGAGTGAAAGGCTGAGCACTGTTGAAACTGCATGGGTGACTGGAAGGGGGATGGTGCATGAGGGTTACCTGTACAAGGAGGTGCATGTGGGTTACCTGTACAAGGAGGTGGATGTGGGTTACCTGTACAAGGAGGTGCATGTGGGTTACCTGTACAAGGAGGTGCATGAGGGTTACCTGTACAAGGAGGTGAGCTGCTGCTACATCCCATGGCTGGTTGCACAAACACGTGGGTAGGGGTGAGCAGGTGGGTAGGGTTAAACAGGTGGGTAAGGGTGGGTGGTGTGGAAAGGAAATAAGGCAAGGGTTAGGTGAAATAACGTGATTAAATCTCATCACGCCATCCAAACATGTCATAAATGATAATGAGAACAGAAGACCGGATGTAGCGAGCATTCATCGAGCCAACAACGTTGGGTCTATCATTCAACTCTTCTGAATCATTAGAGTGTATAACATACATGTCCCTTCATTTGTAGCCCTTCATCCGTTACCTTAAGCCCCTCCTCAAAGAAAGCACCGAGGCGCCCTGCTGCCACGTAGCTCATATGCAGAGCCTGGGAAGGGAGATGGGTTGGGGAATTGATTATAAGAGGGATGGTGGGATGATGGCATGGGATGGAAATTGGATGGGAAGGAGAGGAAATGGAGTAACGGGAGGCACAGGGGAGGGGGGGCACACATAGGTAAAGCACTGTGTTGCGGTGTGAGAAACGAGCAAATGCACTCATTGACTCATTCATGCACGTTGACTTTTGAGTCGACTCAAAAGTTGACTCATTCATGCACAAAAATCACCTCTGAAAGTGCTCGAAAGTGATTCTGGTGAAACGGGCAGACGCATTGACTCGTTCATGGAAACAGATGCAACTCCATGCGCAATGAGATGCGCAATGAGATGCGCAATGAGATGCGCAATGAGATGCGCAATGAGATGTGAGATGCCATGTGTGCAATGCGATGCGATTCGACGACATGCCGCGCTGTATTAAACCAAGCCCTGCAACGAACGATCTACCACACCATAGCATAAAAGAACGTTCATGCATGCCATGCTGCACCATACATCCCCTTTTCCCCCCTCCTCCCCCCTCCCAAACTCCCCGTTCCCCACCACGGATCCAAGCCCTCATGGTGGCGTGTGGTGCCACTGCAACCACTGCCTCCGCCAATCGGAGTATTTTAGAACTCTCGATGCTACCCCTTCCCCCCTCCCTCTTTCCCCCTCCCCCAACTCCCCCCCCCATCTCCCTCCCCTATCCCCCCTCACCCATCCACCTCCCCCATCCCCCCTCCCCCATCCCCCCTCCCCCATCCCCCTTCCCGACTACCTCCTCCCGCCTACCCCCTCCCCCAAGCCCCCCTCAGCCCCCTCCCCCATTCCAACCGCGGATCCAAAGGCCCTCATGGTCCTGGCGTGTGGTGCCACTGCTGCCACTGCCTCTATCATTCGCTGCCGCTGCTCTGGCTGCATGCACAAAGGAGAGGAGGAGAGAGGTGGGAGGGGAGGAGGGAAGGTGGAAATGATACTAGACCTGTGGTTGAACCGCCCATGTTCTCATCTACCAAAGCATGAGCATGAGCATGAGCAGCATGAGCATGCACATGTGCATGTGTGCATGTTTGTGTGCATGAAAATGTGCATGCATGTGCGTGTGCACGTACATTGGATGGGAAGCCCACAGCAACGGCAGCATCACCAATTTCTGTTGGCTCGTTTGGAATAGCAATGCGGTTGCCATTCAAATATGCACCTGTGGGGAGGTGAGGAGAGGGGAGGGAGGACCGGGGAGAAGGTGAGGAGAGGCAGAAAAATAAAAGGAGATGGGAGGATAGTAGAGGGAAGGGGGAAGGACAGGAGAGCAGAGGAGCGGAGCGTAGAAGGAGAGGAGAGGAGTAGGGAAAAGAGTGGAGGATTAGAGAGAAGAAGAAAGGAGAGGAGAGGAGAGGGAGGAGGCAAGAGGAGATGTCACGGGCAATGAAATAAATTGCAATGGAGAAGGATATGGAACAACGAGAGGCAGGTGTTGGAAGGAAATGAATGTGCAGCCCCTAACTTCCCCTCGGCGGCAGCTGTAGAGCTTGTTGTTGAAAAGGGTTGTACACCACCCCCACCTCCAGGCAGCCCTGCAGGGACACTTCATTCCCTCCACGCACACACCTCGCACCAAAGCCCACACATGCTATCACCACAAGGAAGGATCACCCACCTTCCCCACGGCGGCAGCTGTAGAGCTCGTTGTTGAACAGAGTTGTACACCACTCCCACCTTCATGCAGCCCTGCAGGGACACTTCTATCCCCCAAAACAGCTCGCACCACAGCCGCACTCACCCTCCCCTCGGCGGCAGCTGTAGAGCTCGTTGTAGAAGGGGTTGTTGTACACCACTCCCACCTCCAGGCGACCCTGCCTGGCCACTCCTACCCCTCCACGCACCCAGCACCACACCCCATGCTACGCTCACCAACTTCCCCAACAGTCCCACCTTCCCCTCGGCGGCAGCTGAAGAGCTCGTTGTTAAAGGGGTTGTACACCACCCCCACCTCCAGGCGCCCCTGCCAGACCACTCCTACCCCCTACACCAGCTCGCAACAGCTCGAACCACACCCCATGCCACTCTCAGCTTCACCTCGCATCACACCCCTCACTCACCTTCCCCTCGGCGGCAGCTGAAGAGCTCGTTATTAAAGGGGTTGTACACCACTCCCACCTCCAGGCGGCCCTGCCGGGCCACACCCAGCGACACGGCGCACATAGGGATCTCCCCCACCTGTAAGGGGGGGCGGAGGGGAGGGGGACGGAGGGGGGCGGGGGAATATTGAGTTCACGGGGGTGCGGAGGGGAGGGAGGGGGGCTTGATCTCCAGGCTTCTCTTAAGTGGAAAGGTGCACAGGGGTGTCTCCCCCCACCTCCATGCGCCCCTGCCTGGCCACACCCAGCGACACGGCGCACATAGGGATCTCCCCCACCTGTGAGGGTTTAAGGGTGGAGGGGGAAAAGGCGGAGGATGTGGGGGGGGGGAAGTTCTGAGTCGACTCAAAACACGCCCAGCGACACGGCGCACAGGGGGATCCCCCCCACCTGGAAAGGGGGGCAGAGGGGAGGGAGAGGCTTGATTCTAATCATAATAAGACATTATTGAGGCTGCTGTAAAGTGGAAAGGTGCATAGGGGGGTCTCCCCCCACCTCCATGCGCCCCTGCCTGGCCACACCCAGCGACACGGCGCACATAGGGATCTCCCCCACCTGTAAGTGGGGGGCGGAGGGAAGGGGAAGCGGCTTGACTTCAAGAAGTCAATTCTAGGCTGCTTCATTCAAAACTGAAAAGGTGCACAGGGCGATCTCCCCCACGTCCAGGCGGCCATGCCTGGCCACACCCAGCAAGATGGCGCACATTGGGATCTCCCCCACCTGGAAGCGGGCGCGGAGGGGAAAGGCAGGGGGGCTTGATTCTAAAGGTGCACAGGGCGACCTCCCCCACGTCCAGGCGGCCATACCTGGCCACAGCCACACCCAGCGAGATGGTGCACCCAGCGACACGTTTTGCGTCGACTCAAATCAAAACACACCTCCAGCCATGCCTGGCCACACCCAGCGACACGGCGCACAGGGAACTCCCCCCCACCTGCACGGATAGGGAGGGGGGGAAAGGCAGAGGAGGGGGGAGCGGGGAAGTTTTGAGTCGACTCAAAACACGCCCAGCGACACGGCGCACAGGGGGGTCTCGCCGGAGGGGCTGAGAGGAGGGGAGGGGAACCTTGCTTTGAATCAGGTAATTCTTTGATGCCGGTTCCCAAAGTGAGAAGGGCGGGCGCAGACGAGTCTGTCTGCACGTGCCATGCCATATAGAAACAAGCGATCCTTAAAAGCTTGCAGCACGCAGTGGGGCAACCAGACCCTCCCTTGATGTTCCCAGTCTTCAACTCACAAAGTTGAGTGTGCCGTCGATTGGGTCCATGCTCCACACCCACTCGTTCATTCATTGCAGCAGCGGCGGCGGCAGCAGCACTGCCATCACCACCACCGGCAGCAGCACTGGCAGCAGCAGCAGGGTTTGCTCCCTGGTGCAACCATGTCATGCCCTCCTCCCCTCCCCAACTCACAAAGTTGAGTGTGCCGTCGATAGGGTCGACGATCCACACCCACTCGTTCATAGCAGCAGCAGCGGCACTGCCATCGCCACCGGGAGCAGCAGCAGGGTTGGCTCCCTGCTCCAGCCACGCCATGTCCTCCTCTGTGGCTGTCTCCTCGCCTATGATGCGATGCAGCGGGAACGTGGCCTGGCAGGGGGAGGGGGAGGAAAAGAGGTGGGGAAGGTTGAAAGGTCGCAAGAACCAGCAGCACCCATAGCAGCAGCAGCAGCAGCACAGCCATGCTATGTCCTCCTCTGTTGCTGTCTCTTTGCCTATGATGCGATGCAGCGGGAACGTGGCCTGGCAGCAGGGGTGACGCCGGAAAATCGGAAGGGGGAGGAAATGGGGAAAGCGGGAGGGGGAGCGGCGGGGGGAAAAAGCCAGGTTTCCTGGAGCACCGAAATTCTGAAGACAGTTTTGAAGTGAACGACGCGTACGAATGTATCATGCACCGCACTCCATTACAAGGGCCATGATGCTGGGTGGACTATCGCTCGCACTAAAGAGACCTCTGTGTGCTGTGCCGCTTTATCGCATGCACGCTCTGTGCTTTACCACAACTGTAGAGTACACTCACATGCATGGTGGTACCAGACCAGTGCCGTATCGCACACACACACCTCCGTTCCATGTCCAAAGGGCGATGCAAGGTGACTTCTGAGTCAACTCAAAATTCAGCCTCGTTTCCAAAAGGCAATGCAAGAACTTGCTGCACACGCCTGAGTACAGGGCCGGGGACCATGTGTTATAAGACAAAGACAACTCCAATCCCGACTCACATTCACGATGCTTGTGATGTATCGCTCGCACTCCTCCTTGTCCACCTGTTTGTTTTTAGTTGACTCAAAACCCAAGTCGCATACATCACACGCACACACGCGCTCTGCTTTGAGGGGCCTCTATCTATTACAAACTCACATTGACAATGCTTGTGATGTATTGCTCGCACTCCTTGTCCACTTCTGTCACCAAGTCACATGCATACTCCTTACGCTCCACCTCCACCTGCTCCCATGCACCCATGCACACTCATGCGCCCATGCACACTCATGCGCCCATGCACACTCATGCGCCCATGCACACTCATGCGCCCATGCACACTCATGCGCCCATGCACACTCATGCGCCCATGCACACTCATGCGCCCATGCACACTCATGCGCCCATGCACACTCATGCACCCATGCACACTCATGCGCCCATGCACACTCATGCGCCCATGCACACTCATGCACCCATGCACACTCATGCGCCCATGCACACTCATGCGCCCATGCACACTCATGCACCCATGCACACTCATGCGCCCATGCACACTCATGCGCCCATGCACACTCATGCACCCATGCACACTCATGCGCCCATGCACACTCATGCGCCCATGCACACTCATGCGCCCATGCACACTCATGCGCCCATGCACACTCATGCGCCCATGCACACTCATGCGCCCATGCACACTCATGCACCCATGCACACTCATGCACCCATGCACACTCATGCGCCCATGCACACTCATGCGCCCATGCACACTCATGCGCCCATGCACACTCATGCGCCCATGCACACTCATGCGCCCATGCACACTCATGCGCCCATGCACACTCATGCGCCCATGCACACTCATGCGCCCATGCACACTCATGCGCCCATGCACACTCATGCGCCCATGCACACTCATGCGCCCATGCACACTCATGCACCCATGCACACTCATGCGCCCATGCACACTCATGCGCCCATGCACACTCATGCGCCCATGCACACTCATGCGCCCATGCACACTCATGCGCCCATGCACACTCATGCGCCCATGCACACTCATGCGCCCATGCACACTCATGCGCCCATGCACACTCATGCGCCCATGCACACTCATGCGCCCATGCACACTCATGCGCCCATGCACACTCATGCGCCCATGCACACTCATGCACCCATGCACACTCATGCGCCCATGCACACTCATGCACCCATGCACACTCATGCGCCTATGCACACTCATGCGCCCATGCACACTCATGCGCCCATGCACACTCATGCGCCCATGCACACTCATGCGCCCATGCACACTCATGCGCCCATGCACACTCATGCGCCCATGCACACTCATGCGCCCATGCACACTCATGCGCCCATGCACACTCATGCGCCCATGCACACTCATGCGCCCATGCACACTCATGCGCCCATGCACACTCATGCGCCCATGCACACTCATGCGCCCATGCACACTCATGCGCCCATGCACACTCATGCGCCCATGCACACTCATGCGCCCATGCACACTCATGCGCCCATGCACACTCATGCGCCCATGCACACTCATGCGCCCATGCACACTCATGCGCCCATGCACACTCATGCGCCCATGCACACTCATGCGCCCATGCACACTCATGCGCCCATGCACACTCATGCGCCCATGCACACTCATGCGCCCATGCACACTCATGCGCCCATGCACACTCATGCGCCCATGCACACTCATGCACCCATGCACACTCATGCGCCCATGCACACTCATGCGCCCATGCACACTCATGCACCCATGCACACTCATGCGCCCATGCACACTCATGCGCCCATGCACACTCATGCACCCATGCACACTCATGCGCCCATGCACACTCATGCGCCCATGCACACTCATGCACCCATGCACACTCATGCGCCCATGCACACTCATGCGCCCATGCACACTCATGCGCCCATGCACACTCATGCGCCCATGCACACTCATGCGCCCATGCACACTCATGCGCCCATGCACACTCATGCACCCATGCACACTCATGCACCCATGCACACTCATGCGCCCATGCACACTCATGCGCCCATGCACACTCATGCGCCCATGCACACTCATGCGCCCATGCACACTCATGCGCCCATGCACACTCATGCGCCCATGCACACTCATGCGCCCATGCACACTCATGCGCCCATGCACACTCATGCGCCCATGCACACTCATGCGCCCATGCTCCCATGCACCCATGCACGGCATGGACCGCATGCACACATGCACGCAGTTGAAATCGCGTGCACACGCACGCACGCTCATGCACACACACACACACACACACACACACACACACACACACACACACACACACACACACACAAACCCGCATAAGACCATCCCCTCCTTCCAAAGCCCATTCCACCCTCCATCACTCCGCCACTCCCCCTCTCCACTCCCCACTCCCCACACACCACAGCACACACACACAGCACGGCACCGGACACAGGTTGAGTGCACTGTTGCGGCGGCTATTGAAACAGCTCAAATGGTCCTGGGTTGCGAGTGGTTATGCAAGCGAGGCAACCAGGACGATTCGGCAAAGCGAGGAGGAAAAGCATCGAATAGCATCGAATAGAATCAAATGGCATCGAATGGCAATTAAGGGCAAGCGAAGACAGCAGAAGCTGGAGGGCATGCGGAGGGGAGTGAGGAGGTTGCAGAGGGGAGGGAGAGTGTGCAGAGGGGAGGGAGAGTGTGCGGAGGGGAGGGAGAGTGCGCAGAGGGGAGGGAGAGTGTGCAGAGGGGAGGGGGAGTGTGCGGAGGGGAGGGAGAGTGCGCAGAGGGGAGGGAGAGTGTGGAGAGGGGAGGGAGAGTGTGCAGAGGGGAGGGGGAGTGAGCGGAGGGGAGGGAGAGTGTGGAAAGGGGAGGGAGAGTGTGCAGAGGGGAGGGAGAGTGTGGAGAGGGGAGGGAGAGTGTGCAGAGGGGAGGGGGAGTGAGCGGAGGGGAGGGAGAGTGTGGAGAGGGGAGGGGGGTTGTGCGGAGGGGAGGGAGATTGCGCAGAGGGGAGGGAGAGTGTGGAGAGGGGAGGGGGGGTGTGCGGAGGGGAGGGAGATTGCGCAGAGGGGAGGGAGAGTGTGCAGAGGGGAGGGGGAGTGAGCGGAGGGGAGGGAGAGTGTGCAGAGGGGAGGGAGAGTGTGCAGAGGGGAGGGAGAGTGTGCAGAGGGGAGGGGGAGTGAGCGGAGGGGAGGGAGCAGCGTGCATGCTTACCATCTTAATTTGCTTGATCCGCTTACGAATGATGTCCCCTGTCTGCTCATTCACATGCACACAGGAAGAGTGGGAGTGAGACAGCGTAAGGAGAGTGAAGACGGGAGGGAGAGGGAGGGAGGGAGGAGGGGAGGGAGGGAGGGAGGGAGGGAGGGAGGGAGGGAGGGAGGGAGGGAGGGAGGAGGGGAGAGAGGGAGGAGGGGAGGGAGGGAGGGAGGGCGAGAGAGAAGGGGAGAGGGGGAGAGGGGGAGAAGGGTACTTCCAGATGTATCTAACTCGCACAGCCCCCACCCACTCCCACTTGAAAGGACACAAAATTGTCGACTGAACATAGCTTGAAATCACTCCCAACCGAACCCCACTCATCCCAACCCACTCCGCGCGCGCGGGCTCGCCTGGATCGCGATGTTTTCCGCCGTTTCCAGCACGAATTCCGCCAGATCGTTCAGCAGCGGGTCGTCCTGCAGCCTTCCGCCTCCGCCTCCGCCTCCGCGGCCCCAGACTGCCGCCGCCGTGCGCCTCCTCCCCGCGCTTCCCCCCGGACGTGCATATGCGCGGGGAGCATCGTAGCGATGTGAATCTGACGTGGTCTGGAGTGAGTTGGTGTGAGGTGAGGGTAAGTGTCTGAATTTGACGGTGTTTGAAACTGCGCCATGGGTTGGGAATGGTGTAGAGGTGCGGGGTGCGGTTAATCGCGCGTGCGGGATTCGCGACGAAAGTATGGCGACGTCCATGGCGAAGCGCGAAGCCACGGCCCAGGAGAACGGCGTTGTTTGCGGAAATGCTGGTCCTGGGAATGGAGACACTACACCTCTCCTGGTGAATTGTAAACCCTGTAGTGAACCAAGGAAATACAGTAACAATGGTTATATTAACTAAAGTACAAAAAACAACAGGTGTATGAGCAAATTTGTTTAACCATTCCGCATAGCACAAGCACTCTAGCCACAGTACAGTGTCGAGTGGGAAATGGGGAGGCACCCAACCCAACCTCTGATGCTTCCTGCTCGTTCTCTGCTGTTGCCTATGGTGCATTACTGTCCAAAGTGGTGCCAAACTTTACAGTGTTGTAATTATCTTGTGAAAAAATGCTACACCACTATACATGTTCCGGCATGTTAACGCCATGTAAAGGGAATATCAACCCGTCAGTGAAAAGTGGTCTTGCGAAAAAGAGGAAGAGGAAGGAGTCCGCAGTGGGGAGAAGGGCGTGAGAGGGAGAGGGGGCATAAGGAAAAAGATTTTGGGAAACAGAGGCAGTAATCTAGATTCTAGACACTACATACGGTACGCCAATCATTGCGCACTAACTTCCACAGCACCACCACCAGCAGCAGCACTACCAGCCGCAGCCGTCTCAGGCCCGGGGGGAGGGGGAACCGTTCTCCTCCACAGCAGCTCCCTGGCTCCGTCCTTGCCGACAATCTTCACGAGGAAGTTGGGCAGCAATCATTGCGCGCTAACTTCTACAGCACCCCCAGCAGCAGTACTACCACCCGCAGCTGCAGCCGTCTCAGGCCCAGGAGGCGGGGGCACCGTTCTCCTCCACAGCAGCTCCCTGGCTCCGTCCTTGTCGACAATCTTGACGAGGAAGTTGGGCGGGGAGACGAGCAGGCGCAGGCGCACCTCTGCAATGCAGCGGTCCACCACCTCTAGCGCCTCGTCCAGGGACATGTTGTCCTTGTAGTACTTGTCAAAGATGGAGAGCACAAAGTAGGCGCCTGGAGCGGGAAGTGGGGAAAAAAAAGGTAAGTTCGAGGTGTCTCGAAAAACAACCATCACTACGGCCTCGTCCCAAGGCCCTCGTCCCAAGTGACATGTTGTCCTTGTAGTACTTGTCGAAAATGGAGAGGACAAAGTAGGCGCCTGCAGGGGAGGTGTGGAAGGGAGGGAGGGAGAGGAAGAGGGGCAAGTTGCAGGTGGAACGGTGTTTGCGGCACCTGAAAAACCACTTTTAAGGCCTCGTCCAGGGTCATGTTGTCCTTGTGATACTTGTCAAAGATGGAGAGCACGAAGTAGGCGCCTGCAGGGGAAGTGTGGAAGAGTATACTAGTCAACTCAAGTGATGCAGCGGTCCACCACCTCTAGGGTCTCATCGAAAGGGACGTGCTGTCCTTGTAGTACTTGCCAAAGATGGAGAGCACAAAGTAGGCGCCTGCAGAGGAGGAAGGGAAGTGAGAAAGGAGAGTTGGAGGTGGAATGGTAATTGAGGTGCCGCAAAGGTTCACCACCTCTAGCGCCTTGCCCAGGGTCGTGCTGTCCTTGTAGTACTTGTCAAAGATGGAGAGGACGAAGTAGGCGCCTGCAGGGGAAGTGGGGAAAGAGAGGATCAGTTGCAGGTGGTACGGTGGATAGACAGCGGTGGGGCCGGATGAGAAGGACAGCAGGGAGGGAGGATAGCGAACCGTGGGAATAGAGGTTGCTTGCACAAAAAAATCAGAACTAAAATTTGATGTATAAAAGTGAAGTAAGCACATGCTCAGGAGAAGAAGCGAGCAGCGAGAGAACGGAGGGGTGCGCGGGATGACTCAAGACGCGTACAGTAGCTGATGGCAGTGTGCTTCATTGTGTGCAGCGCGGCGACATAGTCAAGGGTTTGGTGACATAGAGAACAAACAACAGCACGTTGGTTTGGTGTTTGAGTCGACTAAAAAAAAAACATTAAAGTCACGTACAGTAGCCGATGGCAGTGTGCTTCACTTTGTGCAGCGTGGCGAGGTAGTCAAGGTAGTAGAGAGATGGTCCCACTCCCTCATCGAATCCCGCCATCAGCATGTTGGTTTGGTATGAACCCTGAGGGGTGCATGTGGGGGATGCAAAAGCGTAATATGAAGTGGATGTGGATGGGGATGGGGATGGGGATGGGGATGGGGATGGGGATGGGGATGAAGTATGCGTATGTGCACGTGTACTTGTCCTTGTGTGTGCATAAGCACCCAAATGTGTAGAACATGCATGCATGAGGCCAAAGGAGAACGGGGAGGACAGTACGCATGTCTCTTGTGAGGCATGATGAGGACAGAGAGCCTGCTGATGCAAGTGAGTAGTCAAGGCAATGAAGCGGGTGGATGGGAACAGCAGCAAAAGCAGCAAAAACACCGGATAGTTGCCAGGTTGAAGCCACAGGTGGAACTGAGAAAGGAGGAGGCAGCGAAACGTAATGTTTTCCTTCTTATTTTTTTCCTAAAAAAGTTCTAAAACAGGGGAGGGAGGCAGGCGGATAAGCTGCTGAGCTGACCCGTGAGCGCAGAGCAGTGGCGAGCTCGAGGCGAGTGAAGTTGGCAGCAGCGGAGGTGGAGAGCGAGATGCTGTTGCGGAAGGCGTACAGGTGAATGTTCTTCTGAATCAGCTCCGAGAATTGCACCCTGGTGAGAGGGGTGGTGGTGGTAGTGGTAATTGGGATGGGGAGAGGCGGGATGGACACGGGAAAGAAACGCTATCACATGGAGATACTAGAGGCGAAAAGCGCAGTTTGGGTGCACAGCGAGAGAAAGAGCAAGAGTAGGGAAGGAGATGGTTCAAGTCGACGAATCAGCTTGTCTTGATTAGCAGGACTAGTGTGCTTTCGACAGGTGTGGTTCAGGCGGGAGTGTGTGGCGGCGAAGGGGAGAGGGTGGGCGGACGGGGGATCCGCGGAGCGAGGTGAGAGGAGAGAAGAGAAGAGGGTGTGCGGAGCGAAGGGGGAGGATTGAAACGAGAGGGAAGCAAAGCGCAGATGGGGAGGAGAAAAACGGTGAAGGATTTAAAAGGTGGCTGCAGACTGGGATGTAAAAAAAAAGGTGGCTGTAAAGAAGGAAGGAGGGGCCAGATGCGCCTGAAATCTCCAGGTGTGGCGTGAACCTTTCCGCGTACTTTCGCGCAAGGATCGGATAAGACAAAGCGCGGTCGGACTAAGGCGTGATCGGACTAAGGTGTCATGGGGGAAGGTGAATTTTGATTCGAGTGGCTGAATTCCACTGCGGGGTGAGCCAAACAGGAATCCAGATCTAAGGAGGCGAAAATTGCGTTGTTTGAGACAAAGCCGATCGGAACCTTCATTTAATACGTACGGCGTCGCCTTCCTCAAATAGTTCAACATAGTCTCCAGAGACTAACGAAATAGGGAGAGGAGAACGGAGAGAGAAAGGGCGGAAAGAGTCGGTGGTTTGAATGGAAAAGACCGAACGCGAGTCTCACTTGCCGAAATCTCACCTGTCGCCTGCCTCGCCTGACGTGGCAAGCAATTTCGTCTCGTCGAGAATCATGATCTTATCCTCATCCGTTTTCTTAATCACGATCGACTGGTTTGCTGACGTGTCCGCAACAACCAGTGCGAAGCCGTCTCCCACAAGGCCGAACAGACAGTCCATGGCGTGCGAGTCAAGATACGATCAGCTCAAGCAACTAGACGTGGAATAATAAGCGGAATTTAAGATCAAGGTGCTAGTTGACGGCGATCTGAACGGGGAGGCAAGGGAGCGTCAGAATAGTTCGGGCCTCAAAGGGAACTATGGCGGCAAAGCAGAGGTGGGGGAATTCGGATTTGAAGGATGGATGGCTGCCATTACCGCGTACAGAACTTTGTCTCCCCTTAAAGCTCGCGTCTCATATTTACTAGTGTTTAACACTTGGTTGGGAAAGTAAGATCCTGATTGGTTTACGAGTGACGAGTTTTTTGACGAGCGGGGGAAATACATGCGCGAAGTTCCAAAGTGTTGAGGCCAACACAAGAGCTCAGGCGCAGGTTTGGGTCACATCCGAACCTCTTGCGTGACAGGTTTGGGAAGTTGCACTTTGTGCGACCAACACTGACGACGGGAACACAGATTGTGCAAGGGAGTGAAGTGATAGGGAAAAATCAAGCGCCAAGGTTAGCACTCCAGCCCTACCTCCTTACACGTAGTAGAAGCATTACCACTCCATTAGTAACCTAGCTCCTATCCAAAGGCGTCAAAAGGACAAAGAATGTCACGTAACAGGGGTGAGCAGCAGTAGCGCTCCCCTTTGCCTATGCTTATGATTAGGTAATAGCCGTCATCTTCCCACCACCCGACCTCCGCTTCCCCGCCACCCCATCTCCCCTGCTCGCCGACCGATCTCCCGTGCAACCCGCCCGAGTTCCCGTTCCCGCGGCCCGATCTCCCATTTCTGCCGCCCAATATCCCCTTCTCGCCTCCTCTCGCCTCCCCGCGCGTGCTCCTCTCGCCTCTCAGCGCGTGCTCCTCTCCCCTCCCAGCGCGTGCTCCTCTCCCCTCCGCGTGCGTGCTCCTCTCCCCTCCGCGTGCGTGCTCCTCTCCCCTCCGCGTGCGTGCTCCTCTCGCCTCCCCGCGCGTGCTCCTCTCCCCTCCCCGTGCGTGCTCCTCTCGTCTCTCCGCGCGTGCTCCTCTCCCCTCCCCGCGCGTGCTCCTCTCCCCTCCGCGTGCGTGCTCCTCTCCCCTCCGCGTGCGTGCTCCTCTCCCCTCCGCGTGCGTGCTCCTCTCGCCTCCCCGCGCGTGCTCCTCTCCCCTCCCCGTGCGTGCTCCTCTCGCCTCCTCGCGCGGCATCCCCCCTGCACGCCCTCATTTCCCCCCCTGCACGCCCTCATTTCCCCCCCTGCACGCCCTCATTTCCCCCCCTGCACGCCCTCATTTCCCCCCCTGCACGCCCTCATTTCCCCCCCTGCACGCCCTCATTTCCCCCCCTGCAGGCTCTCATTACCCCCCTTTTATGCACCCGTTTCCCCTCTGCTCACTCTCTTTCACCCCTCACTCACGCGTTTTCCCCTCTGCTCACTCTCTTTCCCCCACACTCACCCTTTCTCCCCTCTGCCCACTCTGTTTCCCCCGTCACTCACCTTCTTACCGAATTCTCACTTTTCATTCACCCCTTTTTCCAATCCCGCTTCCCCTTTTCCATCTCTCCTTCATGCCTCCCACCACCTCTCCCTGCCTTCCTTGCTTCTCTCCTTATCTCCTTCATGCCTCCCACCATCTCGTTTTCCTTCTCATCTCTTGTGGGCCACATCACAAGGCCCGTCTGCCCTCTCACACTCTTCCTGCCATTCTCACTCTCGCAATCCTCACCGCCGTCCCTTCCTTCCTGTAACCAATCTCCCCTCCCCCCTTTTCCCTTCCTTCCCTCCACTTCCTCCCCTTCCCTTCCTTCTCTCCCCATCATTCCCTCCCCTTCCTCCCCTCCCCTTCATCCCCATCCCTGCCCTTTCCTCCCTGCCCTTCCCTTCTCGACCCCGCCCTTCTACGTCACTCCTCGCCTTCTGCCCTCCAGTTCATGTGCATGTGCTGCCATCACTTTTGCCCCATACATGCATCTTATTAACTCATGTTTACTCGCTTGTATTCCCTTTTCACCCTCCGTCCCTTCAAATCTCCCCTCACTTACTACCCATCTCCCTGCCTTTCCATCACACCTCCCTGCCTTCTCATGGATTTGAGGCACCATTGCGACACCAGGTGTCATACAACCTGTAATGCATACGCAAAGCTACAAGCTACAAGCCAGTATAGGAACATGCCAGTATTAGGGACATGCCTCTATCCTTCTGACACTCTCAGTGTCCATACATCTTGGAAGAATATCTTGCACTGCAGAAAGAAAAGTACATATTGTGCCTTTGATATGGATATCTCCTACACTAATACAGTATCATGCTTGCATACAACACACAAGAAAAACAGGTGGTGGTACGGTATAGAGCGTGGACTAGCTTTAGCTGCGCCTCAGCTTGCTCCTCTGCTTCACCACTGAAAACACAGGGAGTGGAGTAGGCAGGAATAATTGTGTGAAGGAACATGGGGGAGGTGGTGTGAGGTGCCAAAGGAACAACTGCAAGGGAACACAAGCAAGCGCACATGATGAAAGCATGTGGGGAGACAGTGATGGGTGCACATGCATGGGAACTACAGTAGTGGGCGGGTGAGGTGTGAAGGGGAAGGGGAGGGCATGAAAAGGAAGGGAAGGGTTGAGAAGGGATGGGGAAGGGAAGCGCAGGGCAGGGAGGGAAAGGCAGGGATGGGGAGGGCAGGGTGGAACAGGGCAGAGGGTGGGGGGAAGGAGGGCTGAGGGGATGGGGGGAAGCAGGAAAGGGGATGGGGGGAAGCAGGAAAGGGGATGGGGGGAAGAAGGAAAGGGGATGGGGGGAAGCAGGGGGGGAACGGAGGAGAAGCAGGGGGGGAAATAGAGAGCAGAGGGGAAATTGATGGAAAAGCAGAGCGGGAATTGATGGGGAGCAGAAGGGGGAATGACGGGATTTATCGCAACCCGTCGTTCGCACCTAATCAGGGCGGCAGGGAGAATGAGTGGAAAGGCAAGGGGGGTGGGGGAAAGGAAAAGGGGTTGGGGAGGAGAGAACGGAGATAGGGAGGATGAACGCCGGCAAGCAGGAGCGCATTTCCTGTCTCCACTCACCTCCCCTCCCATTTCCTCCCCTCCACATCCCACCTACCCCCTCCCCTCCCCCCCCTGCTCCTTCTCCCCGCCTCCACTCCAACCCGCCTCTCCCCCGCTCTCCTCCCGCTCCTTTCTCTCCCTCTTCCGCCGCCTCTCTCCCGCCCTTCCCCTCCTTTCTCCGCTCCTCCGCTCCCTACTTGCTCCTGCTTCGCTCCCTCTCCCACTCCCCCGCTCGGCCCCCATCCCCCCTGCAAACAGTCGACGGCAAGCTGGACGACCGAGTTTTGGGACATGTTTGGCGGCTTCGCGCCACTGGCTGCACTTGCGCTCGCAATCGCCCCACTCGTCCAGGCGCTGCTGCACTGTGCGCTGTTCTTGTGCTGTGCTGTATTACACGATGTGCTCTTCACCCTGCTACGCCAAGGACCTGCATTCATGCATGACCCCCTGCATGCACGCCCCCTCGTCGCGTCCCCTCCCGTCCCTCCCGTTTCCGCCCCGTACCGTCGCATCCCGCCCCTTCCGCGTGCTCCTCTTCCCTCCCTTCCATTTGCGTCCGGTCTCGTCGCATCCCGCCTTCCCGTCACGTCCCCTCCCGGCCCCTCGTCGAGATTCTTACCTTCCTGTGCCGTCCCGTCCCGTCCCTCTAGTCCCTTCCCGTCCAGTCCTGTCCAGTCCCGTCGCTTCCCGTACTGTCCCGTCCTGCCCCATCGCGTCCCTTACCTGGCGCGCCTCATTACCTGGACATGGTTCACGATAAGCACGGGATGTACCCTGGTCGCCGCTGATACTGATAAATGAAGACCTAATTTCAAGTTTATAGGTCGGCCGTATATGCTGATCAACGAGAATCTAACTTTTGTGTAAGAGGTAACCGCGGTTGCTAGTGGAAAGAGTTTTACTCTTGAACCTGAGCCTAGTGCTAGTGCGAAATCGGGTTTCTGAGTTCTGTCAGTCTCATATTTTTCAGCTGTTGTAAATGCTTGATTCGTGCGACAACCTGGTCGCCGGTGGGGGAGTTTGGGCGATCGTGTTGTCCCCGTGCAGGTGTGTTTTCCAAACCTACCTGGGTGCACGATCGCATGATTGGTTTGGCACGTCCCTGCGCATACCGCCAAGCAAGTTTGTAGGTTCCCAACCAATCGTTTCAACCTGGGCCAACCTTCAGTGGAGTTGTGCGACAGTTTGAGGGTTACCGGATACCAAGCGTTTAACACCTGGTTGGGACACAGAAATATGAGACGCGAGCTTTAAGGTTTCGCAAGTTACCAGCCAATACTGTTAGCCAGTCCCGCTCCCTGCCTTGGCCCGAAGTTCTGATGAGAGCTTTGGCGCGAAAACTGCAACCCTGACTTGTTTCGCGAGCTACCCATTGTTTTTTGCAGTTATGTTACTAGCACAATAAAAAGATATCTAACCATCTAGATAAGAAAATACATGTAAGCGGGACTAACTTCAGTGCGTAGATCTCACTGACCAATGATAACAACCACCTGTTGGTCTGAGCCTTTGTTTTGAGCCTTATTATTTTGAGCCTCTTTCTTAGTACACCAATATAAATATGTTTATAAAAAAATAATTGCATTTACTAAACTATTGATTGCCCTACCATAATCCTTATGAAATAGAGGCCCCATGAATTAGAAGGGTTCATTTCAACAGTCATAATCGTGCACTCTTGTATTACAACTTATAACAATTCTGAAAACCACCTCGGTTATTACAACAGGGGGGGAAGGGGGTTATTCAACAATTTACAGACCTACAAAGGTCAGCTAAAACGAAGAGGGTACACAAATAGCCTTCCCCCCTACGGATCCAGAGCAACTCTTTCCATTGTAAACTTCAAAATCTGAAATAGCTGTTGCCGAAGCTCCACCATAGAAGCGATAGGCAGCGGAACACGACATGGATGGTTTTACTGGCTTGACCCTGCCCTTCTTGCACACACCCATTTGAAACGACCAGTACTCTGCCCTGAGACACACCTGGGATGGTGAGGTGAGATGCGATGTGACCAGAGTGCATGGATGTTTTTGAGAGTAGGAGAAAATGGAAAAGAGGCAAGGCCGGCATTTGTGTGCCCATCTGTGGAAGACTTGTATGGAAATGCAAGCAAGCTTACTGTAGAAGGAGGATAATAGTCTCATGGACGTGTGAACGGCACAAACGAATATCTCAAGTGCGGAACACAATGGCACAAGGATATTGTACCCTGCAAATCACAACTACCTCTTGCCACTCACAGCCTGCTTTCCCGTCTCTCCCGCTTTTGCCACCCCCCCCTGTCCCTGCCCCAATCCCCTCCCCCTCACAGCCCTCACCTGGACACCAATCTTGCTGCCAACAGCAGACGCAGACGAAGGGATGGTAGCAGAACAGGTAAGCCCAGGATTATTGCGGTAGAGATCTTGCCAAGGATTCGCACTTGAATCCCCTTCTTGTGAGCCTGTGCTGCTCTTTTGGACCAGCCGGTCGCACGTGTCTTGAGGAGTGAGCGTGCCGTATTTCACGCACTCGGGAACGGTGAAAGCGAAGGCAGCACTGCGCTCGATGCACACGGACTGGCCGGCTTTGATGGGCTTGGAGCAGTCAAGGCCGGGGTTGAGTGCGGTGAGGTTGGTGAGAGGTAGGTTTACCTGTGTGCTGATGGATTCACAGGAGTCTCCCTGGAGGGTTGGGAGAAGTGTGGGGAGAGTGTGATGGGGTTTGAGACGTCACCACAGCAGTCAAGGCCGGGGAAGAGAGTGGTGGAGGATGAGAGAGGTGTAGGGAGAGTGTGCTTGTGGGTCGATCATTGTTGATAAGATGATGTCGAGACGATGGTGCATTTACGGTTGATGATGATGATGACGATGATGCAATGATGTTGCAATAATGATGATGCGAAGATGATGACATGATATGATGGTGGAATGATGGTGCAATGATGATGAAACGATGATGTGATAATGGTTCAAGGATGGTACGGCAATTTCGCATGCGGTGTGCTGCGTGGACTAGGTGTGAGGTGGTTGAGCGTTACGTGATAAAAGTTGTATTTTGAGACGTCTCAGAATACAACTTTTGTGCTGCGTGGACTAGGTGTGAGGTGGTTGAGAGTTTTTTGTGTTGTGGCGTGGCCAAGAGGGTAGCAGGTCCCACAACTGGGAGTGGGCAAAGAATGGAGAGCAGGGTGTGACGGGGATGTGTTTGTTGTGGAGCCTTGCAAAAGCAGGTCCCACATTGGGAGTGGTAAACAAGGGGGTGCAGGGTGTGGGGAGAGTTTTGTGAAAAATCCATAAGACGTTTCGAGAATCTTTCATGCAAGATTTGTGCGTGGTTTTGAGGAGGAGCGTCAAAAGGAGGTCTCACACTCACATTGAGGGTATAGAAGAAGGCAGTGCAGGGTGTGGCAGGAGTACCATCCAGCTGAAGAACACTGCCCTTGGGCAATGGCTGGCTGCAGTCAATGCCCTGCATTGGGGTGATCAGGTGCGCATGAAATAGACTTTGCGAGGTGCTTACGAGGTGTCTTTTGACTCTGAAGTCACCTCATGCTTGAGTTGAGATAACACGAGGCGCTCACCAGCCCACTCTCCTTTTCAAAGTACTACCAACAACTACTGGTGTTGAATCCTAAGTTGCTACCACGTATCGAACTCAATGGCGCCTAACTGGTGTCCTCTTCCTCAGAAGTCACCTCATGCTTGAGATAACACGAGGCGCTCACCAGCCCCCTCTCCTTTTCAAGAGCAATGCTCACTTTGTTTTCTCGAGACTCCAAATGTAGGGAAAAGTCCCCGGAGAGCAACGTTTTCAACTCGTTCTACAGGTATAAGCTGCCTTTTGGTTTTTTTCCTAAGGTGGCTTTGATTTTGAGAAAATCAGGTTCTTGAATCATACTGCACCTCAGTAGAAGTGGAGGTAGCTAACCAGAACAACCTATATGCTCTTTCCTTGTCACAAAGCTCACACCATACAGCATAGAGCTCGCAGGCGCAATGAAGGGAGAACAAGCAGATGTGGACGTTAGAGGTAAGAAGCCAAGTACAGACTAGCCCATTCATGGTCAAGGACTCAACCTATCCCCACCTTCCTTTCCACGCCTTTTCACCCAATCCTTACTTACTGCATTCGGAGAAGTGAGTCTACTCAGAGTGAGTTTTGAGAATTCTCAAAAGTCACCCCAATCCTTACTTACTGCATTCTGAGAAGTGAATCGACTCAGAGTGAGGCCAATAAGGGGATGAACATCCGAGCACCACCAGTTGTCGCCGCTGACTGTCATTGTGGTGGCCGTGGTGTTGGCTGCAGGCAGCATTGGGATGGGCGGACATAGAGACATTGGGATAAGGTTTTGAGTCGACTCAAAACTCTGTCAGCGTGGTAGGGTAGCTGTTGTGTTGGCTGCCTGCAGGCAGCATCGTGAGTGATGCAGGGGCATCGAGATAAGGAAAGAGGAAAGGTGGGTCTAGAAAAACAGGAGAGAGCTCGAGTTGGGCCTGTCGTGCATACCACTCCACTCTGATTCGCTCTCATGTCATGTTATAGCAATTCTGAGGGCCTCGAAAGCAAACGTGTGCATGCCATGCCATTCCGCCTTGATTCCCTCTCATGCATTGCAGCATTACCAGTCGTAACACAACCGAAATCCACAAGAGATTCTAAATAGTGCAATGCAAACAGGCATACTCATCTGCTCCTACTCGATGAGTAGCATCGTCACCTTATCTGGATTGCAGGTGGGGAAGAATGTTTTGTTGACTCTCGAGCTCTACTAGGATCGCTGGTGGGGTAATTATATTTAAGCCAGCATCCTCGTTGTTAGCATCCTCCGATGTGTTCCAGGTATTAGCATGTTTCCCGGATCGCATGTGCGGTCCTCAGAATGAAATCAGAGTAGCATCACCTGGATCGCAGGTGGGGAAGCCGTCAACGGTTGTGCTAAGAACGTGGTTGGGAGGGCAGATGCAGGAGTAGGCGCCCTTGCCATCGTTGATGCATGCTCCCACGTAGCAGGGGTTCTTGAAGTATGACCCACACACGTCCACTGCCACACGTGTTCCAGAATGGGTGGCGGATATATGCACAAGCAGACATTGGGTAAAAGCGGATATACGAAGAAGAAAGTGGATGTTTGAGTCAACTCAAACAACTTGATTGAAGTATTATGACCCACACACGTCCACTGCCACTCGTGCACCGGGGTGGGTGGCAGATTGTAGCACAGACAGGCATTGCAAATAAATGACCAACAGGAGAAGAGAGAGAAGGAGGATCACGGACGAAGAGAGTATGATAGTTGATGTATACTCCCACGTCACAAGGGATCCTGAACCTGAAATATGAGTCTGCTTTTGAGTCGACTCAAAAGCACAAGGGATCCTGAACCTGAAATATGACCCACACACACCCACTGGCGGAGATGAGCAGGGGGATATGGTGGAGAAGAAAGAGGGAATGTGGCACGGAATTTAAAGCCATGGAAGTAAAATAACATATATCTCTGCCATTTCTGTGGCTTTTGAATCGTGGGAAGTCGAGCCGCCACTTTGTCGTACCTTCTCGCCTGTGCTAGTCACACCGTATTCTCACAAAGGAAGAAAGAAACCCCTGTTTGAGAGCAAGAGGAGGGCGCGTAGGAATTCGCATGCTGCAAAAGCCAGGCACAGTTCAGTCCGCATGAGACGATGTTCCATTCGACTCAAATAGCGGCTTTCTATTCAGTGTGAGATCAATTTTGCAAATCCGCCTTTTACCAGCAGCAAAACCTACCAAAGAATCTTTGAGCTCTTTTACCGAGAAGTACGACTTCCCATAAGCTGTTTCGAAGTGGACTCAAAGGTGCGATCTTACCATTAGCACATGTGTTGGAGCCGTATCCATTCTCAACCTCCACAAACGGCTGTACAGTCGCATCAGGAACGTTGCAGGTGCAGTTGTTGCCGCCTCCGGTAGTGCTCATGCAATTGAACCGCCCGCATGGGTTCATACTAGGCTGAGACCTCACGTCTCCCTTGTAGCTGTTGCTCCCGCATTGGTCTCCTGGAACTGAAAGCGGGAGTGACATTTGGAAGGAAACGCAAGGCGATGGATGTTGGAATAAAAAAGAAAACAAACAGGTGTGTAGGAAAGACAATCCAGAGTGTTCGAGTCAACTTTTGCCACACTCAGTCACTGAAGACAATCGGCAGTCAGTCACTATGAGACATGCTCCACGTCACTGTCAGAACTTAAGCTTAGAATCCATGCATTAGTAGTGAGCTCGAGGCTCTTTAAGTACATCCAGGATGAGCAAGGAATGGATGTTGAAGGGAATCGGGGATAATCTCTAGGGATTGGGGGTAATCCCAGGGCAATCTCCAATTGGCGGGTTGGAGATTTCTTGGATATTACATTTAAGTTTGGTTGGGATGTGAGTGTACACCCAACCAAACACAAAGTGCAAACTACACTACGCTAGCAGGTATGTCAGAATCGACTTGAATGGTTTTGCGCAACTCGGGTTGTGAAGCCCCTGATTCAAACCAGACCATGCTCACATACGAACACATCTGCGGTTCTGCCCCACTCTTGAGAGTGGGGTAGATGCCTCACTCTTGACAATGGGGTAGATGCCAGGCAGCACGTTGATGCCACACACGCCATTCCCTCCCTGAATGTCCATGCGCATGTGACCCTTGCTGCCCCACTCCTCTCCCCATGAGTTCCGGATGATCCAAAACGGAGGAGCAATGCGGTTCTGGCTGCCGTCGTCTCCTCTAATGAAGTAGCCAATAACGAGTACAACGTGGTTGAGACTTCCAGTGTAGCAACCGGGATCCTGGTACTTGATTTTCTGAAGGAAAATAGGGGAAAACACAGTACCGGATGGAGTGAGAGTTGCAATGAACGTACATCGTATCATAGGTGCAATCACCTATAAGACGTCCTGTAAGTTGCCATAGGTCACTTTCGTTACTTACCCCATCGTATGTCTTGAATGAGGGATCAGATGCCTCAATGTGAACCACCACTGGCTGCCGCTGCACTGCCAGCATGAGCCCTACATACCCCTTGAACTGCGCACGCTCAAACGCCTGCACCGGGTATGTTGTTGCCTGCAAAGCAGAGCACACAGAACAGAAGTGCATGTAGATTGTTGGGAGATGAATCAAGTGATCAAAGCACGGCCGCATGAGCCCCACCCCACCCACATGTCCTTTGAACTGCGTACGCTCAAATGCCTGCACTGGATATTGTGCTGGCTCGCGTCATGGAGATTGGATTTATTTGAAGGGAAAATGGGGATTTGAGGTGCTAAAGAGTGGGGGAAGGGATGGGGATGGGATGTGGATGGGGAAGAAAAACAAAGTAGCACATGAATCACCCCACCTTACATCCGTTCCATACAAGATACATCTGTCTTCTTCGCAAGGGACACAAATAACTATTCACAACAAAGAGCCAGCTCAATACATCACCAACCAAGCACAGCAAAATGTAACAGATTATTTTTTTCCTTCTTTCTTTCTTTCTCTCTGTCTTCAGAGATCGCCTAGGTGGTTGATTAAGCCGCTTCACAAACCAACTGAAGAACAGTGAAAACGGAAACACCCTCCAATAACCGCACACTCATAACCGCACCTTGCCTTCCCTCTCACACACCGACCAGCTAATGACCGTACTCTGCTCCGCCTACCGGGTCACTGTCCCCTGTGAGCCCACTGGTGGCATCGAGAGCCACGAGCTTCTCAAAGGCTTCAGTGGGGGAGCCGCCAGCAGAGCACTTGTCGGAGTCGGAGAGGCCCATGAGGGCGAAGAGAGCCTCCACTGATAGCTGGGGAGCGGCGCCCCACTTTGCGATGCCGTATGCGGCTTCCACACTTGCCACCACTGCATATGCCCAGCATGCATCTGGGAGGAAGAAGGAGATGAGGAGAATTGGAAGCATTCATAGCGGGTGGAGAAGGTATTATGAGGGCGGGGAGGAGATGTTAAGTTGGAAAGGGCATATTCTGTATTGAAATAAAAAAGAATGGAGAGGATATATTTAAGATGGAGGGGATAAAATTAGGATAGAAAGAGTATAACTATGATAGTAGAGATGATATAATCAGGATGACAAAAAAAAAGAAAAAAAGAAGAAAAAAAAAGATGAGAGGGGGAACTGAATACGGCCTCTCCAACCTAACATGCAAGGACGGGGGAACTTTCTGCCTCGTGCGAAAGTGCACACATTAGAAACTTTAAGAACGCTCAACAATAAATACAGCAGCAGTTGACTGACAATGAATTGCTGAGAAGCATAAACCAGGAAATTGTGATCTTTTATTATCATTTGCACACAACCATATGCCTGCATGCAACAGTGTGATAAATGAGAAACTTGCCAAAATCTTACGAAGAAGCTCTTTTTCTGTGCGGCCCTCTTTCCACTTACGGCAGTCCTGCTGGTTCTTGACAGGCCATTTGAGGAAGTCCACAGAGTCCCACGTCGTCAAGTCACTGATTCTCCACGAGTCAGCTTTCGTTTTGGTAAGCTCGAAGTCCGAGCTCACATACCGCGGAAAGGGGCTCGCATGAGACGGTGCAAATGTAGCCTCTGATAATGAGAGGCCAAGGGCTGTGAAGGGGCGGGAAGAGGTGGAGAAGAAGAGGATGTGGTCAGACAGGGAGATGTGCGTGGGGAGTTGGGGGAGAGTGGGCAGTGAGTGAGCTGGCAGTGAGTGGTGGGTGGGCGGGGAGTGGGTGAGCGGGCGGTGAAATTTCGGCCGGCAATAACGCTGGGGGGGCTGTGTCCTTTCGTGGCACACGTTGCTGCCAGCCAAACAGCTGTTGCAATGCCGATTGAGCCTGCTTCAGGTCAGGCAGATGCTGTGAAGGCAGAGGCTGTGAAGGCAGAGGCTGTGAAAGCAGACGCTGTGAAAGCAGACGCTGTGAAGGCAGAGGCTGTGAAGGCAGAGGTTGTGAAAGCAGACGCTGTGAAAGCAGACGCTGTGAAAGCAGACGCTGTGAAGGCAGAGGCTGTGAATGTGCCAAAAAATAGCAGCCGCAATGCTGGAGCACCATCAACCTACAGAACAGTGTGTATAAGGGTCTAGAGAACCCCCAGATACTTCTGGGCAGAAGGTCTTTTTAGAGTTTGGGGGTTTAGGGAACACCATGTCACCCGGACAGGCTGAGGGCATACTTCTCTCTGCTCGTTTCTTTGTTATTGTCCCTGTTTTTTCTCATATTTTCCCGAATCACCAGCCCATGATGGTTCAGTCTAGCTCCAACCCGCCAGTCACGTGCCGGGCCCGCGCGTGGCACGGCCAGCCCAGGTTTGAGACGCCCTAAAAGCAGCCCATGGTGAGTCTAGCTCCAGCCTGCCAGTCACGGGTCGGGCCAGTGGCACGGCCGGCCCAGGTTTGAGACGCCCCAAAAGCAGCCCATGGTGGTTCAGTTCAGTCTAGCTCCAGCCTGCGAGTCACGTGTCGTGTCGTGTCGTGTCGGGCCCGCGTGGCACGGCCAGCCCAGGCAAGCCCGGTCCCCGCCTTTGACCATGTCTAGTACCCGCTTCCTGCTTCGCATCCTCTACAGCCCCCACACTTCGAGAGATATTTGATAGCTTTCAGGCAAACCTTTATACATCCTCTAGAGCCCCCCCTTGGAATTCCCCCCCTGGGGACCTCACAGTGCCAAGCGGTAGTACGTAGGTACGTAGGTAGGTAGGTAGGTAGGTAGGTAGGTAGGTAGGTAGGTAGGTAGGCAGGTAGGTAGGTAGGTAGGTAGGTAGGTAGGTAGGTAGGTAGGTAGGTAGATAGGTAGGTGGGTGAGTGGGTGGGTGGGGGGGTAGGTAGGTAGGTAGGTAGGTAGGTAGGTAGGTAGGTAGGTAGGTAGGTAGGTAGGTAGGTAGGCAGGTAGGCAGGTAGTTACGTAGGTAAGTCGTTCGTTACCTACCATGCTTGGTTTGTGGGTCGACTAGAAAAACATAGGCGAGATGCCATGACGAGCTGGGAGGTTGGCTTGCTTGCGGGGCTAATGGTTGGATAACGGACGAGCCATGCATGCCTGGCTCTTTGGCGACTAGCACGGCTCGGCCCGGGGTGGTGAGTTTCAATCAAAAGAACACTTCCAAGCCACATTCAGGATTTTGCAGATGTTGATCTGTGTGAGCCAACTGGGAGTTCTCATTAGCTCTCATTAATGCGAAGGACAGCCTCTCAGGTATGTACTTGGTTGAGGGGCATATATGGTGTGACAGTTGAACACAACACACACACCTTGTCAGGTCTTACAAAAACAAGAACAAGGAATGGCAGTTGAACGAGGAGCATTTCGAATTCTGGCTGGCTGCCACTGTGCCACGGGTCAGAGAAAGCTCACCTTGATCCCTGACCGGTACTGGCTTGGGGTTGGTTGACCTAAAGCCTGTAGTTCGAGGAAAAAGATAAGGGACTTATTACAAGATCATGATTGAGTCTTGAAATCCAGAGCGAAGAAAAAGATAAGCAGGGTAGTAATGTCAAGTCAAGAGAGATCATACGTATTAGCTACCCCTAGTCAGGTCCACATGAACTAATGATGACATGGATTAGCACAGCGCCACAAATTACCTCCAACTGACACAGCCCAGACAGTGCTTACACCATTGTTGGGACAAATCGCTCGTGCTTATTGCTTTGCATTGCATCCAAAACTGCCATGCCACCACCGCCATTAACACCGTCAACCACCACCGCCTCACCTTTCTTTCAAATCCGTTTAGCATCATCCTTTCAACAACAGCAGCAGCAGCAGCAGCAGCAGCAGCAGCAGCAGAAGCAGCAGCAGCAGCAGCATGAACATGGCAAAACAACTGGAGCCGCTGCTTCCACCACCACCCCCAACCCCACCACACCCACCCACATCATCATCCACCTCCACACCCCCACCCTTGAGCTACGACCCTCTCAATACATCAACATTCAGGCGGGCAAGCCATCTCCCTCACCCCACGTTTTGATATCCTTGCCTGTTTGCACAGAGGAGAAGAGAATGCCATGCAGCTGGAAGGGCATCACAGCAGTGGACACTGTAAATCCAAACGAGAACGCCTGCTGCTTTACCCCACCCTGCAGCACCGCACACAGCGACAGTCTCTCCTGCAGCAGTGGCTCCACCGGCTTTCCATCAGCGCCAGCCAGAAACACCCGAATGCGCCCTTCCGTGCCGGGATCCCCAGGCTCATAGTCCACCCAGACCTTATATGCATAGCCATCCGTGAGCGTGAATGTCGATGGTTCTGATACTAAGGGCTCCTCCCCCCCATTGATGCTCAACCCCACTTGCTGGTTACTTCCATCCATGTTAAAAACCACGGCTATGCTTCCAGTCCCCGCTCCTCCATATCCCACACGAGCAGCGGCTCCTGCCTTGGCCTTTGCTGCGATCACAAACGCGAAGCTGCTGGGTGCAGTGAAACCAGGCTGGGGCATGAGAGCGAAGGTGAAGTTGACACTGAATGCGAGCTCCAAGCCACATCCCGGGGTTGCGGCGTTTGGGAACGCAAACAGGGTCACTGGCTTTGCTATGAACCTCCCCACTGGCTTCTGCTGTGTTCCCTTAGTGAGGACCGTAAATGGCGGGAGAATATCGATCGGTGAGGTTTGGATCCAGGCTGGAAGGTTGTGAGGGAGGGGCGGCAGAGCATGGGAAGGGTGGGGTGGTTGAGCAGTGGAGTGGTTTTTCAGTTGACTCAGAAGTCAGAGCAAACGGGAGGGAGAGAGTGGTGAGCAATGGTGCTAAGCAGTGGTGTGAAATAAATCCATTTGGTCAGGTCGTAGGAGGAAGGGTCCATGGATAAGAGTTATACGAATAAGCACTTCCATGATTTCTCTATTGTGCTTCATTCTCACAGTTTACAGTAGCTATTAAGTCATAAGTAGTGGAAAAATAACTTACTTGCTGCGATACAGTTGGTTCCCTCATACTGCACAGAGCCGGGATTACAGGAGCACGTGGGCACGAGGCTAGGTCCATCTGGATAGCACAGGCCACGGCCACCACAGGCAGCAGTGGTGTTGGAGATGCCACAAAACGCCGAGCACTGCGCTGCGGGCCGCTGCTGCGATTCCGGGCGGCAGGCTTTGTTCTGTGTGAAGCAGTTGGCGGCGATGGTGTATCGAAGGCAGTCTGGCCCCGAAACAGCACCGGACAGGTAGTTGTTGGATAGATCTACTTGGATGGCCGGGAGCTTCACAAGGGGACCTGTGAGGTAGTTATGTGAGAGGTCACTGCAAGAGGGGATGGCAAGCGAAGGCATGTGCGTGTGGTGGGTTGGGGTGGGGTGGGGTGGGGTAGGATGATGAGGAGAGCTCTGTTTGAGGTGTGAAGCATTGTTTGCGTTGTGATTTGGCCATGCGATTGCCACAAAGCCGTTGCTACCAGGGATATGAAACGACTTGCCACACCATGCTGCTGCGTTGAGTTTCCCATGACCTTCCATACCTTCCATACCTTCCATACCTTCCATACCATGCTTCTATGAGTTTCCCACTGTGCACAAAAGCCTTGCCTCACTTGAAGGAGGGTGTGCCAGAAAGAGTGAATGTGGAGTATACAGAAGTGATCATGGAAGCTTACACATGATACGACAAAGCAACAACAAACAACTACTCCATAGACCACAGGAGAGTAATGCTCCGCTGCGGATGCCTGAACTCTGAGCATCACGGCTGGTGAAACGCTCGAATGCTTCTTGCATCATCATAACAGATAGCGAGCGCTTTCATCTTGGCAAGAGTGGAGGGTAAACTTCCGTATAGCTGGTTGTCGGCGAGTGACCTGATGAATGTTCCACCGTGAAAAGGGAGGAGCAGAAACAGAGGTGGGTAGGCAGGCAGAAAGGAAGCTATGCAGACATTACACAGGACTCACATAGGGAATGATGTTCAAGGAACATGGGGGTTTGGAGAGAGGGGAAGTAGCAGTGAGAGCAAAAGACCACAAAATTCTTTCATCATGAGAGAAAGATCAAGATAAGTGATACTTACAGAGTACGAGAATTTTTTGCACTGTGAGAAATGGGTGTGAAGCAATGTAATGTGTGCTAAATTGCAGTCGGCCCAGCCCATTGATCTTGCCGATCGTTGAAGGAATTGTTCCGGTGAGGGGTCTACTTTTGAGGCACCTCAAAATTAGCAATGTGCGATGACTTACAGTCGGCCCAGGCCGTTCATCTTGCCAATCGTAGAAGGAATTGTTCCAGTAAGACGGTTGCTGTCAAGTCTCCTGAGAGAACAACACAGCATCCACACAATGAAGTGAACATTATCTTGTTCAGAAGGAGAACAACACATTATCCACACAGAGAGCGCAGTATATATCAAGAAGAAACAGAATGGCGCAGAGGTAAACAGGTGTGCGTGGTATGCAGATTCCTAGGGAACACCAACGGAAGCGGAAGGCATGAAGCTTGGAGGCATGCAGGCACGCGACACGCTAAAACAGGGAAATGCCTCTGTATTGGAGTTGCTTCTGAGAATTTCCAATATTAGTCAAGTTTTGAGTCGACTCAAAACTTGACCCACTACACAGGGAAATGCCTCTGTATTGGAGTTGCTTCTGAGCATTTCCAATATTGACTCAGCTATTAGTAGCATGAAGCGAAGCTGGAGCAGCAAGGGTGACAACTCACCACCACAGCTAGACGAGGCCATCGATCGCATTGACTCACGTTGACTCACATTGACTCACGCTGACTCACATTGACCGAAGGCTGGAAAGCTTGCTGATTGATGAAGGGATGGATCCAGTGACTCTGTTCATGTGAAGGTAGCTGCGTGGATGCATGCAGCCATGCCATGCGGCCATGCCATGCACATCGTAAACGCAAGGCCAATTATTGAATGGCTGCTGCAAAGGCACACACGAAGAGACTTCATGCGAGGGAACGAAGCAAAAGCACAGACGAAGAGGCTTCATGCAAGCTAACGAAGCAAAAGCACTGGTTGCTGCCTGAGAAGAAAACGGTAGAGAAACAGAGGGATAGCGAGGTGTGGTCAAGGATTTGAAGTCTGGGTCGGGTCGGGGAGGGTGGGGAGAAGGGAGCGGTTCCGATCTTACAGTTTTGCAAGAGAAGAAAGAGCACAGATGCTCTCTGACAGCTCCCCTTCCAGCTCGTTGCTTTCGAGAGAGCTGTGTCACAGTGGGGGGCAAGAAAGGAAGAAAGGGACGTGAGAGAGTAAGGAGAGAATCTCAGACACATGCAAAGGTTTGTGGAGGAGGCTTTGGATGGCGATTTGTGGAGCAGATTTCGGATAAAGTGCGGATTAGTAGGAAGGACTGGCAAGAGAAGGCATTTTAGAGGCGCCTCTGGATTAGATTCACACAAAGTTTTTTGTAGATGGAGTGCAATTTAGCAGGACGGGAAGGAGAAGCAAGGGGAAATGAATGGTCATGTGCATAAAGATGGGAGTCGAGCAGGCTATGTGGATGAAAAAATGAGAAGTGGCCTGAATGTGGCCAGGAGGGTTTCTGCAGAGAGGCAGAGGCATGGCAGTACTGGGTTGATACTGAGTTGTGTCAAATTTAGCAGCAGGTGCTTTTTTTTTTTCATAATTCTCAAGTGACACACCTGCAACGACAACTTTCCTTGAGGAGAGGTGCCTCAAAAAGAAAATGAAAGGCAGAGGCACAGCGGCACAGAGCACAGACAGAGTGCTGAGTCGAGTCAATGAGCTGATGGAGGGAGGAACGGGTCCTGTCAGACGATTGCTGCCAAGAAACCTGTGAAGCCCGGGGAAAGAGGCTTGAAAAAATAATGAGTTTTTAGACGACTCTAAACTCAATTTCTGCCAAGTTATTTGTCAAGCACAGGGGAGGAGGTTTGAATGATACATGAAGGAAAGGGCAGTGGAGCGTGAGGGATTAGGAGGAGGATGACACGGGAGGGGAGGTGGGAGAAACAGTATGTCAGAGCATGGTAGATGCATGCATGACCATGCCAGACCATGCATGACCATGCCAGACCATGCATGACCATGCAAGACCATGCATGACCATGCCAGACCATGCATGACCATGCCAGACCATGCATGACCATGCCAGACCATGCATGACCATGCCAGACCATGCATGACCATGCCAGACCATGCATGACCATGCAAGACCATGCACGACCATGCCAGACCATGCATGACCATGCCAGACCATGCATGACCATGCCAGACCATGCATGACCATGCCAGACCATGCATGACCATGCCAGACCATGCATGACCATGTTAGGCCATGCCAGACCATGCCAGGCTCTTCCAGACCGTTCCAAAAAAGTGTAATGCAACTGGGATGGATACATCTTCTCTGAAAAGTGGATACAACCACACGGGATCACGTCCTCATAGTATGTCTCCTTGCCACCATTTCAATTGCCCAATCTTTGAACCCAGCTGGGAATTGAACCCTGGCCTCTAGACAGCAATGTGTGCCATCAATTTGTCTTGCCAAACAAAGGATGTCAGAATTGGTGTGTGAGAAGAGGGCACGATATGCATTTCTGCTGAGCAGTAGAGAGGATTATAGCACGTCTGCACACTACTACATCATGTGCTCGTTCATTCCACACCCACAGATTACTATCTGGTGAACTTCTATCGAGTTGACTTTCGAATCGACTCAAAAGTCTGCTGAGCAGTAGAGAGAGTTACAGCACGTCTTCACACTACTACACCATGTGCTCGGCCCTTCCGCACACACAGATGAATATCTGGTGAACTTCTATCCCACAACCCGCAATTAGACTATGACTCGTGACATGAATGGATGAGTGTCCGCACAAATGGCCCTTTTAGGGGGGGGGTTTACAGGTATCCCATAGCAGCAAGATTGCCGATTCCACTAGGGATTGAGCCTGTGAGCTGATTGTTTTCAAGATTTCTGCAAATACAGCAAACAAAAATGGAGACGAACAACGATGTTATGGAAAATAAATGGAAGGAGGAAAAGAACTGGAAGAAGAGCTGGGAGAGGAGGAACAAGGAAAAGGAAAATGCTGGAATCTGCAAATAAAAAGGAGCAGTAGAATCGTGGATAGTGGGACATGGCGCTAAGAGGAGTAAGAGTAAACTAGCATCAAGAGAGGCAGGTGGGGAAAATTCGAAGAGGCGGAGCAGTGTTTGGTTGGAGCACATGTCCAAGCAAACGGCCTCACAGACGTGTCAATCTTTGAGGCGCCTCAAAAATAGGAGGAGCACTGCTTGGTTGGAGCACTGCTTGGTTGGAGCACTGCTTGGTTGGAGCACTGCTTGGTTGGAGCACACACACGTCCAAGCAAACTGCCTCACAGGTGTGTCAGTTTTGTGAGGCTGCCGATTCCGGACGGGATTGCGCCAGAGAGTTCGTTTTCATTGAGATATCTGTGATGATGATGAGTGGTGGGATGGGATGGATGGGATGGGTACATGATGCATCACTGCGAGGCGATCAGGGATTTATGGGGACGACAGCAGATATGGAGTGACCTTTGAGTCGACTCAAAAGTCGCCAGAGAGTTCATTCTCATTGAGATATCTGTGATGATGATGAATGGTGGGATGGGATGGATGGGTACATGATATGACGCGTCACGACGAGATGATTGGGGGATTATGGGGACGACAGCAGATCTGGATCATGCATGATCAAAGGCAGATTGATACAGAGACTGCCTGAAATGTGCTGTTTATAATCGAATGGGGGAGTACTGGAGAAGAATAAATGATGGGATGGGAGCAGAAAGGGGAACGGCAAAGGAGAGACTATGACGCACCAAGGGGGTGGCTTATTCAAGTTCTCTGAACACCAGGTTTACCTCGAGACGACGTGCATAGACATGCCACCTCTTGTCTCAAGCCCGCTGCCCGCCCACACAAACACGACGGCCCCGACTTGCAATGGGCCAAGTAGATTTCTCATTACACTTTTGGCACAAAGTGCACAATGTATATCGTTGTTGCAGGTTAGGGTTGAGCAAAAAAACGAACACCTGTTGGGTTCGCCTTCGAGGCGAACCGAACAGGTATTTTTTTTTGTCTTAAAGTGTTCGACGTGTTCGGGCCGCTGCTGCAATCTGCCCCGCGACGAACACGAACGTGTTCGAGGTTTGCCCGAACACGCCTTCACAGGCGAACGGCGAACACCATTTTTTGCTCAAAGTGTTCGCCGAACCGAACAGTGTTCGGTTCGGCAAACGGCGGTGTTCGTGCAGGGGCGAACACGAACACGTTCGTGTTCGCCCCTTGCTCATCCCTATTGCAGGTGGATGTATGTAGATGGTCGCGAGGGTGGGCCAAAGATAGCACCAGAATGGAGGGGAGAAAGCAATTGGATTACACTGTGTGGCTAGGAGAAGGCAACAGTGGGATAGCGAGGAGGAAGAGAGTGATTAACAGGGGATGACGAGATGACTTTTGAGTCGACTCAAAAATCAGGGGATGAAGAGATTGCAGCTCCATAGCGGCTCCGCAACGCAGAGAAGCCTCACATCTGAACAACGTTCACAAGATTGCCGATTGAAGAAGGGATTGGACCAGTGAGCTGATTTGATTCAAGTCCTCTGAAATAAGAAACGCAAATTGGCATGTGGTAGGCAAGATAACAGGGGGAAGGTCTGGAACTTCCTCAAAATCCACTACACTAATCAGAAACAAGAAGACAGGGCGAAAACATTACTCTCCCTAACAATCAGCACGCAGGGGTTGGTGAAAAAAATGTGGTCAACCCGGTTCCCATGTATGCATGTGTGTAGTCACTGCCTTGGAGTATGTGCTCTCATCCCAAGCCCTCAATCACATGTATCCTACAATCCACAACCAGGCATCTTAAGTGGTGTGCACGCTCTTTATCTGGAATATCCAAATACAGCAAAGGAGAGGGTGGTGGTGTTGGTGAATGAGTGAGGTGAGACTGAGGCAAGGGCATCATGTCACCAAAAAGCATGGGTGCGGTGTGGCATCGAGAGGAAGAAAATCAGTGGAGAGGAGAAGCGCAAGGGAGAACACAAGCCTTTCCGGAGGCCTCACAGGTATTCCAGCTTTGTAAGACTCCCCAATGCAACCGAGATTGAGTCGCTCAGCCGATTATTTGCAAGGTCTCTGTGACAATAAGCATGCATGGGCATGTGGTAGACGTACGTACGGAGCTCAAGTTTGCATGGAAATGAAGAGTGGATAAACATGAAGGCAGAGCAATTGCGATGTCCTTGGAATGTGTGGATTTAATAGCATGGGAGAAGATAGCATGGGAATTGAATTGTGTTTGCAGAAGATAGCGTGGGAATTGTGTTTGCGGAAAATAGCAGGGAAAATGCGTCCACAAAGCAGGATCGAAAGTACAGGGGACAGAAAGGCGACAAAAGAGGTGCTAAACGCTTGCGCCTAGGCATATCATCCACACATGGAATAGGCGCTTCCAGTTGAAGTTTTCAGGTTACGGCTCGTCACAGGCCCGAACCGGCCATACGCGTCACAATGATGGCTGGGAGGCCCGGCACAGGCTCGACCCGGACGTACCCATGACCATCCATACTATTCGCTGATTAGTATGAGTACCCCTTGCACGAGCTGAGCGCGCGTACCATTTGAATTCTGTGCTTTTCACTAAAGGCCCTGTGCTGGTAGGTAGTTATGCAGTATGTATACTTGCTACTTGAGTCGTGCTTGTGAGGCCCTGTGCAGATTCGAATGTTGCAACCTGCCCTCTCTCTTTGCTACTGGGGACACCAGGGGAGTCACCAGCGAATCTCTCTCGGTAAGTACTAAGTAGAATGCCTCGAATCTGACAAATAGGTATTACAGATATTTCAGTCTGTTCTTGTGCACGCTAGAAGAGAGGCTGATGGTAAGTGGGTGAAGAGGAGGGTAGTAAAATGGAGAAGAGTTGAAAGGAAGGGTGTGGAGAAGAGTGGCTAGCAGAAGCAGGAGAGAAAGAGTGGAGAGGACGAGCAGATATTGAGAGTTGCAACAATAAGAGAGTCATTACATGATGTTAAGGTTCGTGAGATGGTTGATTTCAGCAGGGATCGAGCCAGCGAGCTGATTGTTTGGAAGATGACTGCAATGACAACACACAGAAAGGTGAATGGGGTGTGGTGGAAACAGAGAGCTCAAGTCCACATAAAGGCAGTAGGGTTGCTGCAAAAAATAATCAACAGAAGCATTAATCCAGCACAACGGAAATACTTTCTCGGATGTGTTAAAGTTCACGTAACAGCAGGGGATAGACAGGGGTAGAAACGAAAAGAGCAGTATCTATGTTCTGAAGTGAGCCATGTCACCCACACATACAATGGGTGTGATGGAAGCAAGGCATGGGGAAGGGGAGAGGAGGGACAAAGGCGAAAACGCTCAACGAAGCAGTCATGTCTTACAGATTCATGAGATTTTGTGTCGACTCAAAACACAACTCATGCCTTACAGATATCTCAGACTTGTCAAATTGCCGATTTCAGAAGGGATTTCACCAGTGAGTTTATTCCATTTCAGATATCTGAGAGAACAAACACCAAGAAGCCATGCAAGGTAGGCACAAGCACATGCCAAACCCGAACCGTGTTGAATTATACTAGCAGTCAAACTTCGTACAGCCACCGCTCCTACAACGAACAGCAGAGCAGATTGAGTAGTCTGCTATCTTGTCATCGCTGCTAAGTCATTGGTTGGTCGTCCATACGCCTAGTGGTCGGGTTGGGTGTACCAGCTCCAACTACTGTTTGATGAGGTTGGATGGAAATTTACCACCCCAAACTTTTTCAATTAGAGTTTCCCCAAGTAGTCCAACCAATCTGCAAACTCGCCCAAAAAAAATACTTCAGGGCAAGTGCCTTAATATCAATCGAATTGCAGCTTATGACTAACACATACAGGGTTTTCAGGTCTGTAAGAGTGCCGATTGCAGCAGGGATTGAACCAGTGATTCCACCCCAGTTGATTTCTCGGAGATAAGGAACAGAGATCGTGTATCAGAGGGTTATGTTTGTAGAGGTATGAGCAGAAAAGCATGGGACGTGTGCGTACATAGGTGTAGGGAATACATACATTCGTACAAAATCAAGGAGGCAGTAAGAATCAACAAAGGAGAAGAGCAAGGAGGAGGATAAGCAATAGGCTGTACACGTCCAGCATAGGGGAATAAGATGACATAAGATGTGGGGGAGACGGGAGGATAGCTACTGGTACAACACGAGAATAACCAGATCCCTGCAGTGTGGTAGTAGCAACCCAATATTATGAAAAGCGTCCATATAACTCGCAACCCAATATTGTGGATTGGACAAATCCATATTGCCAGGAGTTCAGTCCAGTTTTTAGAAACTAAGTCAGCAAGCACGAAGAGAACACATTGGAAAAAAGGGTTGCATGGAGAGGAGAGGGTAACAATGGATGAAGTAGAAGGGATATGAGGAACATATAACTGATATGAAGAAGACGCCTGAAAGGAAGGCCTGATATGAGTGGCCAGAAGCAGAGGGTGAAGTGAAGAGGCAGAGATTAGGGCTTTTGGGAATTCTCAAAATCTGAGTCGCTTTTGAGAATTCTCAAAAGGAAGGCCTGATATGAGTGGCCAGAAGCAGAGGGTGAAGTGAAGAGGCAGAGATTAGGGCCAGAGAATGCATAGCACAAAAAAGCAAGCAGGAGGGCCTTACAATCTCTGAAGTTTCGAAAGTTTGCTGATTCCAGACGGGATTGAACCAGTCAGTGTGGACATGTGAATAAATCTGTGATGAGTTGCAATACGAACGATGCATGTGACAGACGAGCGAGGCCAAAAAACAGAATCAAGTTTGCATGGAAAGGAGAGGTTATTGTTCGCTGAAGGGGCGGCTACACTACAATAGTAAAGCAAATGGCGAGAAGAAAGACACGAAAACAAGAGGAGGTGGAGAGGGGAGACAGTAGAGGAGATGAAATGAAAGGCAGGGTGGGGAGAAGGGAGTAGGTGAGAAGAGAGGAACGGAAGAAGGAAAGTACGAGAGGGGACCAGAAGGTGGTGGTTGAGGGAATGACAAGGTGGGTAGAGTAAATGCGGAAATGAGAGGATGAGAACAGTTGCGAAAGTGAGAAAATCCGCGGAAAATTGTGAGCAAACGACGACATGACAGCTGAAAATGGGGGACGAGAGGAAGGGAAAGGGGGCAATGAAACATCTGAGGGTCGAGTACGGTGGAGGCAAGGCCAGAGGAGATAAGGCGGCATGAGATTTGGGAAGAAGGGAGGAGTGGTATGAAGCGGTCTTCTCTCTCTCATGCTCGCAGCATTACAATCTGTTGCCTTATGGTATCTCTAAGCTCTCATCTTCTCAGGTAAGCGAATTCCCTGTCACGTGACGTGATGCACTGCACTGCACGGCACAACTCCCATACCTGGCGCCTCTCTCTCCTTCCTCCCCTCCCCCCAACCACTCCCTCCACTCGCACGTGCCGAATTCATCAACCCGCCCCCAGCCTCCTCCTGGCAGTCCTCTTCCCTGCCTCACTCCCTCTCCACCAATCAACTTCGCAAACAACTCCACGGCTTTACAAGCCAAGCGCAGTGGGGCCTCGCAGGCAGGCAGGCAGGTGGTCGGGCGAGCAGGTGGACAGGCAGACAGAAATTCGTGCAGGCAGGCAGGGCATGCACGGAGGGTTGCAGAGGACGTACAGCCCCACGAGCTGGTAAAGGTTGCTGATGGAGTCGACTTTTGAGCGACTCAAAAGTCAACCATGCAGGCAGGCAGGCAGGCAGGCAGGCAGGCAGGCAGGCAGGCAGGCAGGAAGACAGGCAGGCAGACAGGCAAGCAGGCACAGAAGGTTGCAGAGGACGTACAGCCCCACGAGCTGGTCTAGGTTGCTGATGGAGTCCGGAATGGGCCCTCCTAGGTTGAGACCGACTAACGACCTGCACCCAAGTGCAACATATGCACCCATATGCACTCAAGTTCACCCAAACGAAACACACTAATAGTTGAATGCACCCAAGTGCACCCATTGTACCCAATTGTAGCCAGAAGCACACAGACCCACCCCCACGTGCCCATATGCACGCAAACATGCTGCCACATGGTTGGTTAACATCAACCGAAAGCAACAAATGAAGCAGTGACACTACAGCATCAGCGGAGGCTGTAGTACCACTTCATGGCATGAGATTACTGCGGCCATCACGGTTAAGTGCAGTTCGAATCTTACAGCGTCATGAGCTGAGTGCGGATCGAGTCTCACACTTGAGTTATCATCCCGTTGTTGTCGCATTTGATGTTTTGTGTGGCACTTGCACAATCAGGGTTGGAGCCCCATCCTGGCAGCGTCTGACCCCATGCTGTCTGGCAGTCCTGCAGAAATAGAGCTGTGGGTGGTGGCGGGGAGGAAGGAGGAGGACGAGGGAGGGCAAGGGGGGAGAGGGGGGGCAATGGGGGGGAAGGGTGGGGGGCGGGCGAGGGTTGGGGCGGGAAAAGAGGGAAGAGTTTTGAGTGGGATGAGGGCCGGAAAGGGGTGTTGAGGATGTGTCTCCAAAATGTGACCCAGCGGCTTTCAAATTCCCCTAACTGTCCAAGAGTCTATTGGCGACATGGTCAGAACCTATCCAAAAGCTCACCCACCCCAAGTCTGTCCAAAAAGCGTTGACATGACGGCATTATGCGGAAGGTAGGGGAATCGATGCTTGCCAGGTGCATTACACTATGGGAAGAAACAAGAACCCTGATTTAATATTATTTTTATGTTATTCTATTCTATTTTTAGGGTCTGGCTCAGGGGAAGAGGTGGAAAATGGGAGTGGGATCATGTGGTGTGGGAGTGGGGAAATGTTGCTGTCCCGAATCTGTCTGAATTTGTCTACTATACTAAGTTCTAGAACCTATCCTTATAAATGTCTTAGAGGATACGTCTTGTTCACATTTGTGAACCCTAGAGTCACAAGGCGCGGGCTTTTGGGAGACTTTGAGATAGCCAAGCCCGTCAACTCAATCTTATGATGCAAGTCATTTGATGTCTTTATGGTCATCCTACGTGCACGGTCATGCAAACCATACGCCGCCACCTTGCGAGGCCGCGAGCGGCTGGGATTGGACCACGGGGAAGAGGCGCGTGGCGGCACAGACCTCAAGTATGACAGCGAGGTGGCATGAAAACGCAGCTGCACTCGCCATCCGACTCGCAATCACGTAGTCGACTCGTAAAGTCTCCCTTTCCGGCTCAGTACGAAGTTGGCTCTGCTAGTACGAAACGAGGTATAGGAAATCGGCCCGAAACGTCTAAAATCGCGTCTAAAAAACTATTCTTTGGTCGAATCGTTTCACTTTCGTTGTCATTCTCGCCGTTATTGTCCATTGCACAAGCTAACCTCGCAAGCCTCGCACAGTGTCGTGTGTTGATCTTCTTTGCTCTCTCAGCAAAGTGCAACGGAAAGTCAATGAGGTCATTTCTCCTTGCTGAGTTGGCGCCCTAGCAAGGCCAACGTCAAGTTGTACCTGTCTTGCATATTCACAGTTCTTGTATTGTGTCTCAGGACAGTTCCACACCTTGACGAAACGTAACGAAATGATCGCAGTGAAGCTGTAAAACCTGAGTTGGCGCCCATTGGCACTCTCGTTACATACTCCGCAAAAAACACCTCCTTTTGTGGCAAACCCCTCTATGGCGCATCCCACTCCAGCCTACAAGAACACATGCAAATATGTCAACGAGTGCTTTGAAAATTGACATATGGTGCAGGTAGGAGGTTATAGTTGCAGATTGGTTGTTGAACCAACATAACCTTAACCAGTCCAAGCCTCAAACTAGGCTTATAAACAGTGTATTATGGAATAATAAGATGGTTGGCAAAGTGGCTCACCCAAATGGCCCACCCAAATGGCTCACCCTAACGCGCAGACTGGTCCGTTTGGTTCGTAGCAGATAAGCGCAGCAATTGACCCTATATATTTTGCCCGCATTCCACTCGTTGCCCTATTAACAACCAGGAGATACTATTGTACATTGTTGTGAACTTAAAAACCGGGCTTGCATTTACACAATCAAAACTACCACGCTTCTATGACATACTTGTGGAGCTGTATAACAACAAGAAAACAGAAATTGAATAACTGGGGATCCGTTACGGTATGTAAACGGGTTTCCTTATTTCCTGTCATGATTTCGTACCCTGCGAGTGCGCCCGCGCGCCTGACATCAATGCGCGCCAGCCACAGTTCCGTAACTCTGACGACAAGAGACTGCAGGGGAATTTGTTTCCGTTTTGTTGGGTTGTTTTCGAAAAAAAATCCACGAATAAAGAGCAGACTCATTTTAACGTTTTGTAGTCGTTTTTTTCCATCCGTTAACATGTTTCATGGACTATATAGGAATCATGATAGGATTTTCTCCAAGTAAAATCTTTGAAACAGTTATTACTGTTGGCAGTAGATACTCTTACATTCATTATTACTATTTCTAGTTTACAGCATGGTTTGCCTTGTTTATTTCCTTTCTGCTTTAATGTGAAATTTTCAGCTGCTGTCATTGTTCACAGCATCCTCCTTTTCTAAAAACACTCACTCATTTTCTTTTGTGATGCCACGTCGCTTATCCTCCCTCCCACCAACAAGCTTTCTCTCTGCTTGGGGCATCAACATCGACTGCTTTCTCACTCTCTTTCTCAGATCCACATGTAATCTTGCCGCATACCCTTCAACACGCATCTCTTTTATCCTAATTCCGTACGCAACGGATTTTTTCGCGTTCCTCATTCCCTAAGCAGGCTCCGTGCTCCTTCCCACACGGCCCTGAAGCAGAATGTTCAGCGGCGGTGCGTCGGACGGGGAAGACGATGAGTGGGAGGCTTGGGACGGCCTTCCCGATCCTCTCGCTTTGACGCGCGGTGAATCTGCAGGCGTATTAAGAACGGGGAAGAATGGGTGGGATCATGCGATTCGTGTCGCAGACGAGGAGGAGGAATGGGAGGATTACGAGTGGGAAGAATGGGAGGAGCGGGAGGAGCGGGAGAGAGATGCGAAGATCGTTCACGGCAAGGCATGGGAGCGTATGGAGGAAAGATCGCTTGACTCTGACGAGAATCTTCGAAGAAAGGGGAAGGAGTTGGATGATTGCGAGGAGGCTGCGGGGGGGAAAGGAGAACGCGGAAACGTCTGGGGGAGAATTAGGTGGGAAAGGAGGGGTAGAAGCGGGTGGGAGCGGCGGAGGGGGAGCGGGAGGGGGAGGGGGTGAAGGAGGGGGATGGGATGGTCTAGTAAGCGTCACGATGGATGGGGGGTTGGGGGAGGAGGGGTTAAGAGCGGTGGGAGGGAAGCGAGGGAAGGGGGCGGCGAAGAGAGTGCGACGCGCCACGGCAGAAGACAAGGTGAGAGGAATATTTAGTCGAGTCAAAGATAAGGTGAGCCATGGCTGCTACTGGTGGCATGTCCTGTAAACGCTTCTTCAAAAGGTATGTATAGTTTCTCCCGGACACATGTGCTTTTATTTCCCTTTTTACAGAAGACTCGAATCACAAGTCATCTTGTGTATGCCATGCCGAGTGGTGAGCGCGCCAGCACATCTTTTCTAAGACGAGCTGTTTCTGTACAGGCCCGTATTGAGTTAAGTGTATCCTCCTCCCTCCTGTAGCATTTACACTGGTTTTTATGTATCTAATCCCCACATCTCCACATTTTTTCCCCTATCCCCACCCCACCAATCCCCACATGTCCCCGCCTATCCGCACCTATCCCCCCCTTTCCCCCTTCTCTGCCGTGCAGGAGTGGTGTCAGTTAGTGCATCGCGTGCACCTGCTCCCTTGTCAACTTCGTCCTTGACGAAGAAGTACCGCAGCGCGATGTTTTTGGTGTCAAACATTTATGGTATAGTCTTTCTAGGCTGCAGTGGGGTAGATAGTATGGGGTACAGTTTTCTAGGGTTACATATTTGTACCCAACTCATTTCCTAGTCAATCATTCCTCATTCTTTCACATGGTATAGAGCAGGTTCCCTAGTGGGAACGTTTCCTAGGGCCCACCACGAAATCGATTTTTTTTTTTACCTGCCCGGAGCGCGCTTCGCGCCTGCCCTAGTCGCGCCCCGTGCGCCTGCCCTCCCGTCGCGTCCCCTGCCCTTAGTGGCCCGTCGCGCCCTCTTAAGGCCCCTTCGCGGCCCCTCTCACGGCCCCTCGCGGCCCCTTCGCGGCTCCCTCGCGGCCCCTCCGCGGCCCTTCGTGGCCCCTCTCACGGCCCTTCGCGGCCCCTCGCGGCCCCTCGCGGCCCATTCGCCGCTCTTCGCGGCCCCTCGCGGCCCCTTCGCGGCCCCTCGCGGCCCCTTCGCGGCCCCTCGCGGCCCCTTCTCAGCCCCGTCGCCGCCCTTCGCGGCCCCTTCTCGGCCCCGTCGCCGCCCTTCGCGGCCCCTTCACGGCCCCTCGTGGCCCCTTCTCGGCCCCTTCGCCGCCCTTAGCGGCCCCTTCGCGGCCCCTCCGCGGCTCCTTCGCGGCTCGTCGCGGCCCCCTCGCAGCCCCTCCCCGGCTCTTCACGGCCCTGCCGCCCAGCCGTCGCCGCCCCAGCAGCAGCTGCCGTCGTGCCTGCTGCCGCTGCTGCTTCTTCTACGACCGGTCGTCGTCGCCGCTGCTGCCGTGACAGCCGCCGCCGCTCCTGCTGGGACAACCCCCGCTGCCGCTGCCGTGACAGCCGCCGCCGCCGTCCCGGCCCTCCCCTGCAGCCGAGGCGCGGCACTCCTCTGCCGCCCTGTCGCGGCCCTGTCCCTGCCGGCGCGCCTCGGCCCTGCCCCACTGCTTGCGGACCTCTACCCTCCCGCCCCTGGTAAGAGCACCGCCGAGCCGCGCCTCTCGTGCTGAGCTGCTCCTAGCCTGCTGCTGCCACTGCTAGCTTGCTGCTGCTGCTGCTAGCCTGCTGCTGCTGCTGCTGTCATGGCTACCCCTAGTGTTCTCACCTTTGATGCTGAGGGTCGGGCTGTCGACTTTGAGGTCTGGGTCGATAATCTGCAGCTTTTCCTACAGTGTGATAGAAAAGATGGTCTCTCACTGTTCGATCTCACGTCTGGCGCCTCTGCTGCCCCTGCTGCCGATGCTGATAGTACTGTTCGCTCACAGTGGGCCACACGCGATGCTGCTGCCCGTCTTGCTGTGCGTAGTCACTTGCCGTCCACTGAGCGCGCGCACTTTAGTCAGTACAAGAGTGCTAAGACCTTGTACGACGCTGTAGTTGCACGCTACTCTTCCCCTGCCACTGCTGCCCTTAGTCGCCTCATGCTGCCGTACCTGTTCCCTGACCTCGCCGCCTTTCCCACAGTCGCTGACCTCATTACACACCTTCGCACTAGTGACACCCGCTACCGCGCTGCGCTTCCTGCTGAGTTCTGCGCCAAGAACCCCCCCCCCATGTACATCACCCTCTACTACCTAGTCACCCGGCTCCCTGACTCCCTTCGCTCGGTCAGGGACCACTTCCTCTCTGTTTGCCCAACCACACTCACCGTTGACCTCCTCGAGGAGCGCCTCCTGGCAGCTGAGAAGAGTATAGTCGCTGTAGGAGCCTCTCGTGGTGACCCTCGTACCCCCTTCTTTGAGGGGTGCCCCCCCTCCCCCCTTTTGCCCTCTGTTGCCTCTGCTGCTGCGGTCGACCTCGTTGGCACCGAGTCGGTCGGTGCTGCGTCTGCCCCTAGCGGGAGACGTCGCACCGGCAAGGGCAAGAGGGGCAAGGGCGCTGGAGGAGCTGGCGGGGGCGGTGGAGGTGGCGGTGGAGGCGGCGGAGGGGGTGGGGGTGGCGGTGGGAGTGGTGGCGGGGGTGGGGGCTTCGGTGGCGGCGGTGGAGGCGGAGGCGGCGGCGGCGGTGGTGGTGGGAGCGGAGGAGGAGGCGGTGGCGGCGGTGGCGGAGGTGGCGGCGGCGGAGGTGGAGCTGGTCGGAGTGGCTCTGCGCAGCGGGGCGGCTTCGGTGGTGGTCAGCGCCAGCAGCAGCAGCGCACTAGTGAGACCCCGCCCCCCCAGCAGCTTCGTGAGTGGTACGCTGCTCGTCAGCAGGGTGGGGGTGCTGGTCCCTGTGCCTACGTCCTGCGTACCGGCGACCGCACTGGTGAGCCGTGCGGTGGCCCGCACACCACCCAGCGCTGCTTCGGCCGCCTAACGGACGCCTGACGTCTCCAGTTCCCTGACGCCACTGAGATCCCTCGCTGGGGCGAGCTGCTTAGGTCGGGGATTGCTATCTTTGATCTTGATTATGATGCTATTCTTGCTGCCACGTATGTTGTGTCTACTAGTGATGAGGGTGACTATTACCTGTGTGTTCCGCCTGACCCGGGCATTGAGGCTGCTGCTCTAGGTGCTGGTGAGGCTGCTGCTCTAGGTGCTAGTGCGTCTGCTGCTCCAGGTGCTGGTGAGTCTGCTGCCCCAGGTGCTGGTGAGTCTGCTCTCTCAGGTACCACGTCGGCTCAGGCCTTACACACCTTCACCCTTGACTCGGGTGCTTCCCGCTCCTTCTTTCGAGACCGCACCACACTCACGCCGCTTAGTCGGCCGGTTGCGGTCTCCCTGGCAGACCCCTCTGGGGGTCCTGTCCTTGCCCACTTCTCCACTGTCTTACCGTGTCCGGCGGCCCCTTCTGGCACCCTGTCAGGTCTTTACCTCCCCTCGTTCTCTACGAACTTGGTGAGTGGTGCTGATCTACAGGATGGGGGGGTTGACCAGTTCACTCCTGCGAGTCAGCGAGTGACCCACTGCACGTGTGCTCGGACGGGCCGACACTTGGCCACGTTTTCCCGTCAGCCGGGGTCGAGCCTGTACACACTGACTACTGAGTCTCCTCCGGTTGCTGAGTCTGGTCAGGTAGCTGCGTCGGGTCAGGTGTTTGCTGCAGCGTCCAGGTCTGGTCCTGAGTCTGCCCCCTGCTCGTGTCGTCTCCTGTCTCACCAGACTCTCCTCTGGCACCACCGCCTTGGTCACCCCTCCCTGCCTCGTCTCCGAGGCATGGCCTCCCGTGTCCTTGTCTCTGGTCTCCCCCGGTCCCTCCCTCCCCTTCCTCCGGGGCCTGCCCCTACCTGCGTTCCCTGCGTCGAGGGGCGGCAGCGCGCCGCTCCTCACTCCTCCGAGTTTCCTCCGACAGAGGCTCCGCTGCAGACACTTCACATGGACGTGTGGGGCCCCGCTCGCATCCGTGGACAGGGTCACGAGCGTTACTTCCTGTTGGTGGTTGACGACTACTCGCGTTACACCACGGTCTTCCCCTTGCGCAGCAAGGGTGAGGTCACGGAGGTGTTGATCGACTGGATCCGCGCAGCACGTCTCCAGCTCAGAGAGAGTTTCGGCTCGGACTTTCCTGTTCTGCGTCTGCACTCCGACAGAGGCGGAGAGTTTTCCTCTGACCTTCTGCGAGCCTTCTGTCGTGCACGGGGCATCCGCCAGACGTTCACGCTTCGGGCCTCTCCACAGCAAAATGGGATTGCTGAGCGCCGCATTGGCATGGTCATGGACGTCGCTCGTACGTCCATGATCCATGCGGCTGCTCTCCATTTTCTGTGGCCGTTCGCGGTTCAGTACGCGGCGCATCAGATCAACCTTCAGCCCCGGGTCTCCTTGCCGGAGACCTCCCCTACTCTGCGGTGGACGGGGAAGGTTGGCGATGCGTCTGCGTTTCGTGTCTGGGTATCTCGGGCTTTTGTCCGCGACTTGTCTGCGGACAAGCTGTCCCCCCGTGCTGTTCCCTGCGTCTTCCTTGGCTTCCCCCCTGACGCGCCTGGTTGGCAGCTTTACCACCCCACCTCGCGCCGTGTTCTGTCCTCCCAGGACGTCACGTTTGACGAGTCGGTTCCTTACTACTGTCTCTTCCCCTACCGCACTGCACCCCTTCCCCCGCCGCCGCTCTTCCTCGCTCCAGGTCCCCCCCGGTAGACCCCCTTCCCCCTCAGGGTCCTGCCCCCTCAGGTGTGTCTCAGGTAGACGCAGTCGAGCCTGTCGAGGTAGCTGTTGACTCTGGTGCTGCTAGGGGTGCTGAGCCTGCGGGTGCGGGGTCTGGGGGTGCTGAGCCTGGGGGTGCTGAGCCTGGGGGTGCTGAGCCTGGGGGTGCTTAGCCTGAGCGTGCGGAGCCAGGGGGTGCTGAGCCAGGGGGTTCTGCGTCTGGGGGTGCTGAGCCTGGGGGTGCTGCGACTGGGGGTGTGGAGCCTGAGGGTGCTGGGCCTGCTCGTGTGGAGTCTAGCGGTACTAGGTCTGGAGGTCCTTCGGGTGCTTCGTCCCGGCGGGAGCTACCCTCTCCACAGGAGCTGCGCGAGTGGTTTGCTCGGCGCTGGAGCCGTGCTGCTGGAGCTGGAGGTGCTGCTGGAGTTGGAGGTTCTACTGCTACTGAGGGTACTCGTGCCACGGGTCCCGGAGGTGCTCGTACTGGAGGTACTGGAGCTGCTGGGCCTGGGGGTGCTCCTTGTGCTGGAGCTGCTGGCGGTGCTGGAGCTGGCGGTACTGCTGGGGTAGGTGCTGCTGGAGCTGCTGGAGCTGGAGCTGTTGAGTCTTCCGGTGGTCCGGCTGGAGCTGGAGCTGCTGAGGGTGTTGGCGCTGGAGGTGCTGCTGGCGTTGGTGCTTCTGAGGGTGCTGGAGTTGGCGCTGCTGGAGCTGGGGGTGCTACTGGCGCTGGTGCTGCCGCTGGGGGTGTTGGTGCTGTACCTGCTGGTTCTGAAGGCGCTGCGCGGCCGCGGCCGTACTTCGTTCCGCTCCTTGAGCAGGTTCTTGGTCTCCCGCCTTCTGCTGGTCCTGCTCCTTCCATAGCGTGTCCACCGCCTGTCCAGTCCGA